CACACACACACATTTTTTTTAAAGAAACCTTTGCTGTTGATACGTTCCTGGTGGGTCTGGATTTGAATTGATGACGGGCCGGAAATACGGACCTTTATTACTCACAAACTAGCAAATAGAGCGAACATCAACATATTTCTGTCAGCTCCCCTTGTTCTTAAGTCCCAGAGGGGCAACGTAGTGTGGCCCGTATGGGCCCTGCTTGTGCAGTGGGTTGGCGTTGTAGCTGAGCTCTGGAGAGCCACAGCTTTTTAACAAACAAAACCCAGTCTTCTCTTTGTCTAGAGGGGGAAGGCATACTTATTTTTGAGGTTACCAGCTATATCAATAACCCTGGGAAATGACTAAGGTCAGGGAGTAGCAAGGGCCTTGTAGCCTTTCCATCCTTAGCAAGATGTTTAGAAACACAAGAGGTTCAAGAGGGACTAGTTTTCCTTACAGTTCCATAATTGCTTTGTTCAGTGTATAAAATCTTACTCCATTAGTTAAACCCATTTGCTAGTTTTTGAGATAAAGGGACAATGAGCATTTCTATTTGAACATAGTAGGTTTATATACACGAATATGAACAAGACAAGTGAAAGATCATTGGATAAGATTTTGATTCTTTAAATTGTCTAAACAAGGAAAGTAGGAATATAAAATGAAGTTTTTTAAACTTAAATAATTTTAGTGGACATATTTCCTTTAAAATTTCCCCATTGCAACTTGTTATATGTGAAAGATGATTTATTTTCTCATACGTTTATTGAACTTATTCTTTAAAAGGCATGTACCTAAGATATTAAAGGATTTCTAGATATGAAGTAAACTTCCCACGGCCAACATGTTGGAAAAGTAGGCTTTATACATATAGCACTAAGTTTGGAAAATTAAAATTTTAAATCAAGGGAAAACAAAAGTTGCTGATTCTTATTTTACCTGCTACTCCCATTCCAATGTTTTAGTATGTAAGCAAACACACTAAATCAGATTATTTAAGGGAAAGAAATGTTCATTTAACCCAGTTCCGATCTAATGCTATGTGTCATGCAAGCTGAATGGACCAAATTTCATACAGGCATTCCTTGGAGATATTGCAGGCTTCGTTTCAGACCACTGTAGTAAAGTGAATATTGCAGTGAAATGAATCACAAATTCTGTGGCTTCCCAATACATATAAAAGTTATGTTTGCACTATACTGTAGTCTGTTAGTGTGCAACAGCATTATGAAGAAGTTTGAAATATTGTGAGAATTACCAAAATGTAACAGAAAGAAGTGAGCACATGTTGAAAAAATGGTGTTGATAGACTTGCTGGAGGCAAGGATGTCACAGACTTTCAATTTGTACACAGTGCTCAATGAAGCTAATCATAGGATGATAAACAGCCTGTGCTGCGGGCGCTGTATTATGACAGCAACTCAAGAGAATCCACTCAGTGACAAGCTCTTACAGGAAGGAACTGGTTTTTGTGAAGGTTGATTTCGTTTTTGATTAGAGATTCCACTGTCTTCCTCAAGTGTAGTAAGCATGGTAGTACTGAGGCAAAAGTTAGCTTGTTAATCAGTTTCTTATATAATCTTAGAAATCTGGAGGCTTAAATGTGTTATTATCTATGAGGAGAAATTCTAAGATTTTTTTTTCTTAGCTAAAATTGAACATGAAGTGGTTTAATATTTATTCAGTTTCCCTTTATTCACATCTTAAAACTGGATACTTGGTATACTGTTGTGTACAATTTTTTCCCCTTTAAATATTGATGATACTGAAGTAAAAATAAAGTTGCTAGAAAAATAGTGTATGAACTAATGGAAAAACTGTGCTGATTAATGGGTAAGTCTGTACTGGTTTCCTTTTCTAAGACTTGGAAACATTGGGAATTTTAAAAATCTGTATGTAGTTGCTGTGCACATTTTCTTTAGTGATACAGACAGGTGTTTTACTTATTTCTTTCTAGATGTTCGTAGGAGAATTGAACTAATTCAGGATTTTGAAATGCCAACTGTTTGTACTACTATTAAGGTGTCAAAAGATGGACAGTATATTTTAGCAACTGGTAAGTAATCTTTTTGGTATATTTTATAGCAGACAGTGCTATGGTGGGAAAAGGTACCTTTCTTCATCACTCTAATATTTCATTGGAGTCCTGGTGTGGCGCTATGGAATAAAGCACTGGACTGCAAGGTCTGTTTGAACCACAAGGTCGGTACTTCAAACTCACCAGCCGTTCCTTGGAAAACCTATACATGGTCGCTATGAGTCGGAACTGACTTGATGGCACTTAACAAAAACAACGAGAAAAATGCCCACATTTTCATTCCATCGGAGAATGAATAAACTAACTATAGTATGTTTAAATAGTGATGGATACAATTTTGTAGTAAAAAGGAACAAACTGCTGATAGATGAAACAAAATGGATGAGGTTCAAATACAAATAAGTCTTATACAAAAAGAGTACAAATTTAAGATAGTATTTATATAAAGTTATAAGATAGGCTTAAGCTGCCTCTAAAGTGTTCAAGAGTCAGTTTGAAGACAGATAACGAGACAATATTTCATTATAAAATGTTTCAAACATAGAGAAATAATGAAAGAAGTTATACGATGAACGTTTATTGATCATCCACCTGGATTCCAAAATGAATATTTTGCTGTGTTTGCTTTATCACACATTTGTCTACCCATCTCTGTCCACCCATTGCATTTTGTTTTTTTGATGCATTTCACAGCACATTTTAGGTATTAATATACTTCTCTGAATATCTCAGAATGGATTTCATTAACTAGAGTTCACTATTTATCTATGACCTTTTTTCTAGTTGAAATTGTTGTTAGTTGTTAGGTGTGGTCTAGTCAGTTCTGACTCATAGCTACTGTATGTACAACAAAATCAAACACTATATGGTCCTGTGCCATCTTCACAATTGTTATGTTTTAGCCCATTGTTGCAGCTACTGTGTCAAATCCATCTTCTTGGAGGTCCTTCTCTTTTTCGATGATCCTCTACTTTACCAAGCATGAAGTCCTTCTCAGGAACTGGTCCATCCTGATAACATGACCAAAGTACTTGAGATAAAGTCTTGCATCCTCTCTTCTAATGAGCATTCTGACTGTACTTCTTCCAAGACAGATTTGTTTGTTCTGCTGGCAGTCCATGGTACTTTTTTGATATTTTTAGCTAACACCACAATTCAAATGCATCAATTTTTCCCCATCAATTTATTCATTGTCCAATTTTCACATGTATATGAGGTGACTGAGAATATCATGGCTTGGGTCAGACTCACCTTAGTCCTCAAAGTGACATCTTTGCTCTGTAATACTTTAAAGATGTCCTTTGCAGCAGATTTGCCCAGTGCAGTTACGTCATTTGATTGTGGATCCAAGTAAAATTAAATATTTGACAACTTCAATCTTCTTTCCATTTATCATGTTGATATTTATTGGTCCAGTTGTAAGGATCTTTGTTTTCTTTATGTTGAAGTGTAATCCATACTTAAGGTTGAAGTCTTTTGATCATCCTAAGCAAGTTCTACAAATCCTTTTTACTTTCAGCAAGCAAGGTTGTGTCATTTACATATCACAGGTTGTTTAAGAGTCTTCTTCCAGTTTTGATGCCATATACTTCTTCAGATCATTTAGTTTCTTGGATTATTTGCTCAGCATACAGATTGAATAAATATGGTGTAAGGAAACATCATGCTGCACACCTTTCCTGATTTTAAAGATACCCCCGTGTTCTGTTTTAACAGCTGTCTCGTGGTCTGTAAATATTCATCACAAGCACAATAAGTGTCTACGATACCCATTCTTCTCAATGTTTATTATAGTTTTTCATGGTCCACATAGTCAAAAGCCTTTGCATAGTTTAATAAAGCACAAGTGAACATCTTTATAATATTTTCTGCTTTCAGCTGACATTCATCTGACATCAGCAGTGATAGCTGTCATTCCCTGTCCTCTTCTGAATCTGGCTTGAATTTCTGGCAGTGCCCTGTCAATGTACTAATATAACAATTTTTGAGTTAAAATATGCATATTGTAAAATGTATTGATCTTAAATGTACCCTGTGATGAGTACTGACAAATGCATACACCTGTAACAGCCTCTTTCAAGATCCAGGACATCCTTTCACCCTTTCAAATCCCCTCCTGCTTCTCATAGCCAGTGCCTCCTCCCACCTCTAGAGAATACATCATTGCTCTGATATTTTTCACCCCAGACAACTTGTTGTTGTTAGGTGCTGTTGAGTAGGTTCTGACTCAGCAACTTTATGCACAACAGAATGATATACTGCCTTGTCCTACACCAACCTCAGTGGTTGCTACGCTTGAGCCCATTGCTGCCTCAACTATGCCAGTTAGGGTTTTCCTCTTTTTTGCTGATTCTCCACTTTACCAAGCATGATGTCCTTTTACAGGGACTGGTCCCTTCTGATAACATGCCCGAGGTATGAGAGACTAAGTCTGGCCATTTTGGCTTCTAAGACACATTCTGGTTGTATTTCTTCTAACACAGATTGGTTTATTCTTCTGGCTGTCCATCTTTTTTTTTTCCTTTTTTTAAGTTTTTGTGAATTGAGTGGAAGTTTACAGGGCAGATCATCAGTTTTACATTCAACAAATCATACACTTTGTTTCACTACAATGATTATAATCCCCAATGGTAATCTCCTTTAATATTCTTCTCCAATATCATAACTCAATTGCATCAGTTCTATGATCTTTTTTATTCACTGTCCAATTTTCTTATGAATATGAGGCTATTGTAAAATACCACAGTTTGGGTCGGGAGTAACCTTAGTCCTCAAAGTGACTCTTGAACACTTTAAAGATAGCTTAAGCATATATTATAACTTTATATAAATAATATCTTAAATTTATACTCTTTGTGTAAGACTTGTTTGTATTTGAAAATCATCCATGTTGTTTCATTTATCAGTAGTTTGTTCTTTTTTACTACCAAATTGTATCCCATGCTATTTAAATATAATACAGTTTGTTTTTTCATTCTCCCGTTGATGGAATTAAAATGTAGGCATTTTTTGGGGGGCTTTTAATAAAGAACCACAAGCGATCTGATACAAGTCACTTTTTGTGGTCATATTTATTCGTGCTATGTGTACATGTTTTATTTATCTTTAAGTACTTAGAGGAATTGCTTTACCATAGATAAGTATGTGTTTCATTTTGTAAGTAACAACTTGAACTTTTCCCAAAGTTTTCATATTTTGTATGCCTACCAACAGTGAATTTAAGTTCTAGGAAAGTTCACTTTTAGCATAATGATTTTCATTATCATGTATTAATATTTGTATATGTATATGGGAGTTTTTATTTTCATTATCATTATAAAAAAGCCATAAAATATAGAAACTTTCCATGTGATTTTATTTATGTGTCCTGTGTATTGTCCATGTTTAATAGTACCCATCCCTTTTCAACCCCTCTCATATTTGATAAATATATATATAGCTCTGGTAGCATAGTGGTTACAAGTTGGGCTGCTAACCTGAAGGTCAGCTGTTAGAAACTACCAGCAGTTCCATGGGAGAAAGATGAAGCTTTCTGCTTTGATAAAGAATCACAGCCTCAGAAACCCTATGTAGGGTTGCTATAAGTCGTGAGTTGGAACTGATTTCACAGCATACCACCATCACCACCACTATATACATATATATAAATATATATATACACACACACACATACACACACACATATTTATATGCCAGTCCCTTTGTTCTGTATTAAGCTTTCTATGTATTAATGTTATCCATTTAACCTCAAGTTTTATATTTAAAAACTGGTAAAGAGAAATGAAAAATATATGAGAGCACTAAAGACCTCTAAGGAGTCCTGGTATGGCTCGGTGGGATAAATACTGGACCTCAAAGTCAGTTTGAACTCCAAGGTCGGCATTTCAAATCCTCCAGCCACTCTTTGGAAACCCTGTACATGGTCGCTGTGATTAAGAACAAACTTGACTGCGCTTCACAACAATAAAAAAGACCTCTGAGGACAAAGAAACTTAGAGATTAAGTTTGTTTTCTTCATGTTATCGATCCAGAGCTATTAAGTGACTAAACAAAACTCCCAGATCTAGCACTTAATAGAGCGAGATGTGGATTAAAATAAGAGGTTAAATTTGAGGGTGTTTCAAAAGTTCATGGGATGATGGAGTTTTTAAAGTCCCCTTGTTGCTGTTAATTGCCTTTGAGTCAGTTTTGAGTCATAGTGACCTTGAATATGATTTCCGAAGGAGTGCCTAAGTGGTTTTGAATCTCTAACCTTGTGGTTATCAGTCTAGTGCTTATCCTACTCTTACTTTGTGTTAAACTACACTTACAATTCTGAATTCCTCCTCTACTTGCAGCAAAAACATTGTTTTCCTTCTCATTCAGAATGCTTTGCTTTTTAAAATTCTTTTTAGAAGAATATTACATAAATAATGCATTAATTGTGGTTCCTGAGAGGAATTGAAATTCTTATTTTAGCTTAAAAGAGCCACACATAGCTTCTTGTTGTGGATAAGTGCCGTTGAGTTGGTTCCAACTCATAATGACCTTATATAGGGTTTCTGAGGAGTTTGAGTTCCGAGGTGGTGAGTTTGAACTGCAGACCTTGTGGTTTAGTTGCTTACCCTGTAGCACTATGTAGTGTGTGGCTAGCATGTTTTGTTCAATTTCAGAGTTCCCCTGGTTCAATATTTAGAGAGTTCTTATTCAGGTATGGTAAGGGATGTGGATTTGGGGTGTCATTTGCTTCTTTATTTAATTCAATAGAGAAATCTCTTTTTAAATCTCTGTCTCTGTCACCGTCAGTAATGTTTGTTTGTTTGCTTTTTGGTTTATTTATTTTTTAGACTTCCTATTTTGCATTAAGTGAAGGTTTGCAGAGCAGATCATCAGTTTTACATTTAGCAAATCATCTACTCTGCATCATTACAGTGATTTCAATTCCCTCCAAATACCATCATTTAACAGTATTTACCTCTGTTCACTTCAACTAGTGCATTCCTCACTGCGTCTCCCGTTACCTTCATCTTTCCTGTGTCAGCCTCCCTCTTGTTGTATATTGCCTACCCTGTCACCCATGTTAACATGTGTCTAACCTCTAGCCCTTCCCCTTCCCCTGTGACCATCACTAATTGCTTCTTTTATTAAGAAAATCTTTTTTGAAGTTTTTGCACATTGTTGTTATTAAGTGCCTTCAAGCCAGTTCTGACTCATAGCAATCCTGTGTAAGGTTTCTGAGGAGCAGCTGGTGGGTTTGAATTACTGACCTTGTGGTTTGCAGTCTGATGCTGATCCTACAGTGCCACACCAAGAGACAGAGAGCGCAGAATGAATTAAAAAAAAAACAACCAGAATCCTTCAATAAACTGTCTACAAGAGACTCATCAAAAAGAGAGACAGCCTAAATGCCCATTAACAAAATAATTGCTAAACTATGGTATAGACACAATGGAATATTAAACAGTGTTGAAGAATTGTGAATCTGTGAAACACCTCACAACATGGATGAACTTGGAGGACATTATGCTGAGTAAAAGTAGTCAGTCACAAAAATACAAATCGTGTATGAGACCAGGTTATTAGGTATTTTACAGATTTGTTATCCTTCAACATTGCTTAGTATTCCATTGTGTGTATGTATCATTTGTTTAACCATTCTTTTGTTAATGGTCATAGTGACACTGTATGGGGATTCCAAGATGTTGCTCGTGGATTTGAACTCTGGCTTTGTGGTTCGTAGATGATCAGCACCACACCTAGAGTCATTTTCTGTGGCTTGCCTTTGTATATCGATTGTATGTCGATTGTTCCATTTCTTTTTGGGGCACTTGGGAGTCACTCTTTTTAAAAAAGTTCTTTTCTTTCCATATTGTTGTTGTTAAGTGCTGTCGAGTCGGTTCCGACCCATAGCGACCCTGTACAGGGTTTTTGAGGGTGTAACTCTTTATGGGAGTAGAAAGCCTCATCTTTCTCCCGCGGAGCTGCTAGTAGTTTCAAACCGCTGACCTTAAGGTTCGCAGCCCAATTCGTAACCACTACGCTACCAGAATCAATTCTACATAGCCCTGAAGAAAAGGTGTACTCCACATATATGTGGGATACTGTCTTTGAAAAGTAAATTTAGTTACATTTATTAATGAAATTGAAATTTTTTAATTAATTGAAAACTAAAGTTAATTACATTAACTTTTTATAGGAACATACAAACCTCGGGTTCGATGTTACGACACCTATCAGTTGTCCTTGAAGTTTGAAAGGTGTTTAGATTCTGAAGGTAAGAGGACAGATTTGAATTCATGCTTTCTAAATAGCTTTTTAAAATTTAAACTGTGCTTAAATACAATATGCAACAAAGCATTTACTGTTTAAACATTTTTTGTATGTGTGTTTCTGGGGCAGTAGCAATGTTTATCCATAAGCAATACCATACCTTTTTTTATTTGGCTGCTTTTCTGCTTTTTAAAATGGAAATGAGTGGTGTGTTCGTAGTCTATTGCTATGTAGCATATTACCACAAATTTAGTGGTTTAAATGCTAGTCTGTAATTTGTTAGTTCATAATTCCTTGCAGACTCTATGCTTAAGTGTCAGGGGAGCTGGGTTATTTGGAGACCCTGGGAAAGAATCTGCTTCCAAATGTTGGTGGTCACTCTCAGTTTCTAGAAGCCACATGGATTCTTCCATCTTCAGGCCAGCAACCAACAAACAACTGACTGAGTCCTGCTGGAAATCTTTGATTCCCACCTTTACAGTCAGCCTGAGAAAACGCTGCTTTTAAAGGGTTAATGTGATTAGAGTAAGCCTACTTTATAATTACCCTTTTGCCAAAATGTAATGTGATTTTGGGAGTGATGTCTCTTCACATTCAAATGTTTGGCCAAGTTCTACAGAGGCAATTATATAAGTGTGAAAGATCATGTTAGAAAGTGTTAAAGATCATGTTAGAATTCTGCCGAACATTGATGGAAAGCTAAAAGGGGAAATTTCAAGTGTTATTTGATCTAGTTTATTAGACTGAGGTGAAAGAATTTAGTAGAATGTGAGTTCTATAAGATTACAAATATACTGTATTCTAACTTGTTTTACCCTTGTCATTTTAAAAACGGAAACATTAGGTTTGCTAGTGACAATTGTTTTAGCTCTTTGTTTTTTTAGCAGGTAAACCATAATTGGGAAAAAATTACTGTTACCTCTTTTTTAAAATGGCAATAAAAAATTTATGATATTTGAAAGTCTTAAAATTATTTTATTTCAACTATCTCAGGAAAATGAGAATTTAAATGTTAACGCATTTTGTAAATTTGCTATTTTTAGTTAAGTTTGGTTCTGCAGAGAGTCTAGTTGATTTGTACTGAGAAATAGTAAAGACTTTGATTTTCCATTTGGTTTTTGAAGCAGTATAATATGGGAATTTTATTTTTGTTGTATGTAGGGGCAAAAGAGAAAAAAGCAGTATTTGTGTATAATTTATGTATTGAAATAGAATCCTTAGTATCAAATTAGCATTTTCATGAAAAACTTTTTTAATTGCATTTTCCCCATTTCTTATTTTTCAGTTGTCACCTTTGACATTTTATCTGATGACTATTCTAAGGTATGTTTGATAACGTTGATTTGTACCTGCAATAGTCAATAAAATAATGAATGGAATTATATTTTTGTGATAGGTAGTTTTATAAGTTCCCATTGTGAGAAATAAATTCTCAAGATGGTCCATCTTCAGGAATGAAGGGCATCCAGGAAGTTGCAGGCTAGTGTAACAATAGAAGCTCAATGGGGAAGGGGAAGAAACTTGTTGGGGGAGGAGGACTAGGAACTTTAATAAAAATCCAACCATCAGTATGCAGCATCTGGGGAAAAGATTGTTAACCCCATGTTGTTGTTAAGTGCCTTGAGTTAGTTTGACTCATAGTGACCCTTTTAGGAATTCTGAGGAGCAGCTGGTGAGCTTGAACCTCCGACCTTGCAGTTCAAATGGCTTTGCAGTCTGGTACTTTAACCCACAGCACCACACTAGGACTCCTGTTAACCCCAAGTACTCAGTCAGTGAGGAACCAGGGGAGGGACGTTCTTGAGCTAGGACAATAAGATTCTTTGTGAACCAGCCACAGCGAGTCTGCCTATGTTCTAGGTTTGGTGTCTGATTCTGCAAAATCAAATAAAAAAGCTTAACTCTCGCTACAATGGGTACAGATTGGTTTTCTTGAGTTTCGTTAAGCACTCATGATAACTCTTCGGTGGGTGACCTCATAACCAAGAGGGACAGAGGCAGTATCTGGGATATCAACAATGTTTCTCACATCATTGTTAAATAAAAATAGTTGTGTAGTGAAATGGTACCAAACATTTTTAGTTTGTCACATGTGTGATACTTGCTGATGTTGTTAGGAGTCTACAAGTCAGTTCCCACTAACAGTGACTTTATGCATGCAGAAGGAAACATTGTCTGGTCCTGTGCCATTCTTACAGCTGTTATGTTTGAGCTCACTGTTGTAGCCACTGTGACAGTCCATCACAATGGGGGTTGTTCCTCTGTTTCTGTGACCCTCCACTTTACCAAACACGATGGGACTGGTCCCTTCTAACAATATGTCCAAAGAATGAGAGATAAAGTCTCACTGTTTTTGTCTTTGCTTTTCTGGCTGTATTTCTTCTAAAACAGATTTGTTTGTTTTTCTGGTAGTCCATGGTACTTTTATTGTTCTTCTCCAGCACCATAATTCAAATCCATTGATTCTTCTATGATCTTCCTTATTTGTTGTCCAACTTTTACATGACAATGAGCTAGAAAATACCATGGCTTGAGTCAGGGCTGCCTTAGTCCTGAAAGTGATACCTTTGCTCTTTAAAGAGGTCTTTTTGCAATGTTTCAATGATTATAGTCTACTCCATGTACCGTCAGTTATTAGTATTTATCTCTACCCCCTTTAACTCTTGCATTCCTCCCTGCAACTTCCCCTACCTTCATCGTCTGCCAACCTCCCTCGCACTGTGCCCTGCCCACACCAAGTTAACAAGTTTTTATCCTCTGTTTTTACGTGCCATTGAGTGGGTTCTGACTTATAGTATCCCTGTATGTGGTTTCTAAGGAGTAGCTGGTGGGTTTGAACTTGACCATTTGGTTAGCAGTCCAGTGCTTGTCCTACAGTGTCACATAATTCTTCCTTCCCTTCCTCCCCTGGTAGCCATCATAGACTGTTTCTTATAGCATGAAAACCATTTCTTCACTGTTAGCAGTAGTGGTCTCATACACTATTTGTCCTTTTGTAATTGACTAATTTTACTTAGCAAACTGTCCTCCAGGTTCAGTACATCTGGATTGCATGCTTGACCAATTTCAGGCTGAAAAAGTTGGCAGAATTCTTCAATTTCATAATTGGTAGCTTTGGTGGTTAGTGTATAAATATGAATAATAGTTGTATTAGTCCTTTCCATTTCTTGTCTTGTTGATTCTTTGTATTTCCTGTTTTATTTTTTATTTATTTCTGCTCTAACGTATTTTATTTCTTTTCTTCTGGTGACAGTAGGCTTACTGTGCTGCTCTTTTGTTTTTGTTTGAGATGTTGGGGTAAGGCGTTGATTTTGGTTCTTCTTTTTGGATATTGTACATTTATTGCTGTAAATTGCCTTCTGAGCACCACTTTCACTGTTTCCCAAAGGTTTTGGTAAGTTGTGGTTTTATTCTCGTTGGAGTCAAACTAATTTTTTATTTCATTTTTTTAATAATCTATGATCCAGTAGGAGCTGTGGTGTAGGATAAGCACTGGACTGCAAGCGTGGTTTGAACTGCAAGGTCAGTGGTTCAAGCCCACTAGCTGCCTCCTCCGAAACCCTATACAGGGTCACTATGTGTGGGAACCGACTTGACATCACTTAGAAACTACAGCATTACCTAGTGATTTTTAGCAGGATGTTGTTCAGTTTCCATGTATTTGATCCCTCTCCCCCTCCATCTTATTGTTGATTTCTAATTTTATAGCAGTGTGATCTGAGAAAGATGCTTTGTAGTAGTTTTGTGTTTTTAAATTTATTAAGATTTGCTTTGTGGCGTAATATATTAGCTATCCTGGGGAATGTTCCATGTGCATTGGAAAACAATGAATATCATACTGTTGTGGAGTTGAGTGCTGTGCGTATGTCTATGAGATCAAGTTGGTTGATTGTGCTGTCTTGGATCTTTGTTGAGTTTTTTTTGCAGTTGTTCTGTCTTTCATCAAATGTGGTATATTAAAATCTCCTACTGGTATGGCGCTGTGGGTTAATGCGCCAGACTGCAAAACCGTTTGAACTGAAAGGTCGTCTGTTCAGGCTCACTAGCTGCTCCTCAGAATCTCTATACAGGGTCACTATGGGTCAGAACTGACTCGCTGGCACTTAACAACAACATCTATAATTGTAGAGTTGTTTCTTTCTTCAGTTTTGTCAGAGTTTTATTTATGTATTTTGAGCCTCTTTCATTGGATGCATAGGTATTTATTATGGCTGTGCTCTCTTACTTAGTTAACCCCTTAATCATGATGTAATGTCCTTCTTTGTCTCTTATGCTGGTTTTTGTCTTTATGTCTATTTTATCAGAAATTAAAATCGCCACTTCTGCTCATTTTGGATTGCCATTAGCTTGATACATTTTTTATCCATCCTTTGATGTTTAGTCTATTTCTGTCTTCGTGTATAAGATGTGCCTCTTGTAGATAACATACTAAAGGTTTCTGTTTTATTATCTATTCTGCTACTCTGGGTCTTGATTGGTGTATTTAATCCATTTACATTCAATGTAATTAACGGTAGGTATGAATTGATATTTTGGTGTGTTTTTTTTTTTTGTGGTGCTGCTGGTTTCTTTGTTCCACATAGTTTTCTGTGTTGAGTTCATTTCATTTGTGGATATTCTTATCATTTTTATTTCTGTTGTCTTAATGTTTACTAAATCTCGCTGATTTTCCTCTTTTACATTTTGATGAGAAGGTGAATTAATTTTATTTGAGGTTAATCTGTAATTTATTAATTTTCCCCGTTTTAAACTACCCGCTTGATCTTGGCATCTACTTGACTTCCTCGTCATTTGGAATTTCTGTATATACTTTCTTCTCTTTTTGCTTTGTAGTTGACCTTATCATAAATTATTGCCTCTGGTTCCTTATTTTCAGTCTTGTAGGTTTGCTTTCTTTTATGTGGCACTGTAAGATTAGCACTGGACTGCAAGGTCAGTTTGAATCATAAGGTTGGCAGTTCAAACTCACCAGCCATTCCATAGAAATCCTGTACAGGGTCGCTTTTAATCAGAACCAACGCATTAGAACTTAACAACAACAAAAACATATGTGGAATAAATTTTGGGTGGTGTTGTCATGTTTGGTAATCTTAGGTTGTTGTCTGCTGGTGTTGGTTCTCAGTCCAAAGAACACTTTTAGTATTTTTGTAAAGTTGGTTTGGCCATTACAAATTTCTTTAATTTTTGTTTATCAGGAAATGCCCTAATTTCACCATTGTATTTGAGAGACAGCTTTGCTGGGCATCTGATTCTTGCTTGGAAATTATTTTGTTTCAGAGTTTTTTTAATATGTCATACCATTGCCTTTTTGCGTGCATGGTTTCTGCTAAGAAATCAGAGCTCAGTCTAATTGGTTCTTCTTTATAGGAAACTTCATTTTTTCTAAGTTACTGCCAGGATTCTTACCTTGTCTTTAACTTTGGAAAGTTTGATTCTGATGTGTCAATGATTTTCTTTTGGAATGTATCCCATTTAGTGTTCATTCAGCTTCTTGTGTGTGCTTATATCGTTTTGTGTGATCTTAGGCAAGTTTTCTTCCAACAGCTCTTTGACAGTTTTTCTCTGTGTTTTTATTGTCTCTCCCTGGACTGGTATTCTGTTCACCTGTAAATTAATTCCTCTTCATGGTGTCCTACATAACTCTTAGGCTTTCTTCAGATTTTTTCATTCTTTTTTTCTGATTCTTCTAGCATGCTAGTATTGAGAGGTTTATCTTCTAATTTACTAATTCAGAGTTTCATTTTGAGAATCTATTCCTTTGCCCTTTCAATGTATTGTCCATTTCTGAAATCTTAGTATTAATCTTCTGAATTTGCACTTGCAGGTTTTGTATTGTTTCAAAATTTGCATTTATTTTATGTTTGTTCTTATAGTCTTTTAGTGAATTCTAAAGTTTTTTTCTGTATTCTTCCTGTTTTCTTCACTCTTTCTTGTCAATTCTTTGTAGATACCTAAGTAACATTCTTTTGAATGCTTTTTCATTTGGTTCCATTAGCTTATTTCCTCGAAATGTTTTCTGGCTTTGCATCTTCATCATTTGCTTTAGCCATTCTCTTGTTTGTTCATGTGTACTAAAATTGTCTGCTGTCTCTGGGACATTGTGGTGTTATCATTTGTATTTAATTGATGAGCATAAAAGTTGGTGTGTTCTTAGGCTCTCTCTAACCAGCTGTCTCCTCTGAGTGTAGTTAGAGAATGAAAGTGTGAATATAGTTGTCCATTTGCTGTTCATGTAGCTCAGTTTAGTTTGGGTTTGGCTGTTTTTGGCTTCTTTTATTAGCTGTGTTGTATAGTAGATGGGATTGGCTGTTGTGTAATGGGTGGAGCTACAGAGTATATAGTTGTGGCTGGGCTATATGGACACTTGTTGTCTCCTTTGGGTGGGAAAGGGGAGAAAAACCACACTCCTGTGCACTCAAAAGAAATCAGAATAAATAAATGAGCAACCAACAATGTACAGAGAAAACAATAAAGGAGAATAAAGAAAGAAAAACAGGCAGCAACCAGTAAAAAAGAATATGATAACTAAAAAGAGAAAAAAGAGACCGGTAAGTGGAGATTGTTGTTATTGTTAAGTGCCGTCGAGTCGGTTCTGACCCATAGCAACCCTGTATAGGGTTTCCTAGGAGCAGCTGGTGAGCTTGAACCACTGACCTTGCAGTTCAAATGGCTTTGCAGTCTGGTGCATTAACCCACAGCGCCACACAGAGGAGAAAAATAAGAGAGAAGATAATAGGAAACAACAACAATAAAACACTTAGAAAAACCAGGGAGAAGAAAGACCGTAGAATTAGTAAAGAAAGATCAAAAGGTTAAAAATGAAGAGGGGCAATGAGAAACAAGGAAAGACGGAAAAGCAAAAGTGGGGCTAGAAAGAATCAAATTCAAGGGAATGGAAAGAGATAAAGGAGAAGGAAGAATAATCAAACAAAAACAACAAAAAGAAAGGGAAAAAAAACCAAAGACCCCCCTAAAAACAGTACAGCTGTTAGATCTGTGGGGCTCCTGCCAGCCAAGGCACCTATGAGGTGGGTACAGGGAGGATATGACAGCATAGTTCTTGGCCTTAGCTAGAGTTCCTAAAAGCCTAGGTGTTATCTTTATTCGAGACATTCAATCGGACTTCTGATGGGGCACTGTAGGATAAGCACTGGACTGTGAATCACAAGGTCGGCAGTTCAAACCCATCAGCTGTTCCTCTGAAACCCTATACAGGATCATTATGAGTCCAAACCAACTTGACGACACTTAGCAACAACAACAACAGTTCAGAAGCAGTTTGTGGAGACCCTTGATGAAGATGGTTTTAGTGTTCTATTAGGAACACAGGGCACCTGGGGGCAGGGTGGCTGGTTATAAGGGCTTCTTTAGACTAATGGCAGACTCCTGGTATGGCGCTGTGGGTTAATGTGCTGTACTACAAAGTTGATTTAAACCGCAAGGTCTACAGTTCAAGCTAACCAGTTGCTCTTTGGAAACCCTATACAAGGCTGTCATGGGTTGGAACGAACTTGATGGCACTGAAGAACAACAGCAATTCTGGTCTGGTGACTCTAGGTTTTGGAGGTTTTGATGCTAGCTTGCGTGAATCCAAGCACCGAAGTGGCATAGCCGGCCACTACCTCACACTAATGTGGCTCACAACCACCTGGCTGTGAACTCCCTCTGGGAGTTCAGGGAGAGTAGGATCTGAGCTGGGGGTGGATGAGTGTGGGAGCTGGCCACACTTCTGGTCACCTGGGGAGCATGGGGAGCAAGAAGGAATCTCACCTTTCATGTTGTCCGTGTGATTCTGCTCTGCCAGATCACCTTCTGTTGCCAAAGCTGTTCACAAAAGTTCAAGATGGCCCCACCGTGTCTGGCTAGCTGTTCACCAATAAGTCCCCCTCTCTTACTGTCCCTGCTCAGCTAGCACTCAGTCCACTTCTCCTAATGTTCCTCTGAAGTTCAGGGTTCCAGGATTTTTGTTTTTTTTGAAGTGATGACAACATTTCAATTCCCCTGGTGACCCTAGGGCCCAAGCTGTGTGGTCTCCTGATCCTGACAGTGATGGCACACCACTCAGGATAAGAGGACAAGGCTCGAGGGTGACCTGGCCTGGGGCAGGGTGTCCTGTAGTGGTTACAGGAGTACTTAGCCCTGATCTTTTCCCTGGGCATTCCCATAGCCCATGGAGTAGCCGTACATGTGGATCTTCTTGTCCTGACTCTGATGGGAGATGTACCTGCTGCCCAGGCACTCACAGTCTCGCCCTTTCTCTGGATTTTGCTTGGCACATCATCGTAGATGTAGGCGTGGTACTCAGCCCACTTGGAGCCACACACCATCTCTTTGCTCTCTGTGGCTTGGGCATTGGAGGGCGGCGCCGTGTGGACCGGAATCAGCATGTACTTGAAGAAGCCCTTGGAGGCCCACCGCCACCTTGTTTCACTGTTGTGCACCTACCCTCACAGTTTCTGCCTGTTCCAGGGTTTTTCATTCTTGTATCTTTTTTTTTAGAGGGTTCATGTAGCACATCTGCCTGGTTTTCCATTTTGCTAGATGTCTTTCTCATCATTTAGTTGTTGACAACTTCCAATTTTCATAGATTCATGCCTAGTACAGTCCACATTTCAATTGTTAATGGACGTTTGTGGCTGTTTTTATCTTTTTTGAGTTGTTCATCATCTGCAAATGAAAGCTTTACTCCTTCTATTTTATTAAGGCAACTCTTCTTTGAGGAGATCACTCTTATTGTCTGGCAGTATACCAGACAGTATTTCCCTGCTAGTTGTAAGATTTTCAGTGGCTATTCATAAGATTGCTTTTTTTCTAGGTATTCTTTCAACTCTTTTATTCATTTTCAACAGTCTCAATATTGTCATTGAAGTTCTTGTTCGATTTTATATAAAATTTTTTTAGTAATGTTAGATGTCACATTAAAGAATTAAATTTTCTTACTTGTGTAACCATTTATTATAATGGATTAATTTATCTTTATATGTTCATTTCAACATACTGTGGGATACATTATATCCTTTTGAATATACTAGCCATTTTTCATCTGTTTTTGAATCTACTTATATGTAGCATTTTAACTACTATTATTAATTTGATTTTGACTACCATCTGTAGATTTTTTAGATAGCTTTTTAATACATTAAAGTTAAGTTTATATAAATGATTGTGGAGTTATTAAAATGTATACAGATGTGAAATGAAAAATTGCTCATTAAAGTTACTGTGCAGTGTTCTTTTTTATAGAGTGTTTGGACCTGGTAAATGAAAGCATTTATTTTAAAATTTTAACTTAGAAATTAGGCTTACAGAATACCTGTTCGTTATGCAAGATGGCATTAAGAAACCAATGGAAAGGTAGATAGTGTGTGTACGAGGGGGGCTTCAGAAAATTCATGGAAAAATGCAATTAGAAGATAATGGAGTTTTCCATGAACATTTTGAATACCATCTTATGTATATGTATGACAGAGAAAGAGGTAGAGTGAAAGAGATCAGATTTTGTTTTCCCCTTTGCTGAGTTCTAGTGGTAATGATGAAATAAGCACTTTCTCTAGAAACCTAAGCAAGTTGATTTTTTTGTTTCATTTTCAGATTGTCTTCTTACATAATGACAGATACATTGAATTTCACTCACAACAAGGTTTTTACTACAAAACCAGAATACCAAAGTTTGGGAGAGATTTCTCTTACCACTATCCATCCTGTGACTTATACTTTGTTGGTGCAAGGTATTGGATTTAATCATTCTTTTGTTTTCTTTCTACCTCCTAAAATAGCTTGTTTCTAGAATCTCTTGTACATTTTGTGCACCTAAATAACTTGCTTCTAATAAAAATTCAAAAGTGACTTGTGCTTACGGTGGAAAAACAAAACAAAAAAACCTTAGACATCAAAGAGAAGAAAAAACCAACCAAAATATTGCATACATATTGATGCATATTATTTCTAAGTGGTATCATTATAGCATTCTGTTTAGTACCTGCTAAAAAAAATATTAAAATTATCTATTGTAGTTACATGTCCCTATGCTTAAACCAGGAAATGCTGATGGGAAACATGCAACTCCTGAGTTGTCTCAGTTTCTCGACTTTCTGTTTATTTCCAAATGCTAATAGCTTCTGCTTTAACTTTTCTAGCATCAATGATAAGTTTATATCTTGACCAATAAATGATTAAGACTTTATATATGCTTATGGACTCTGGTTAAAAACAAATGGATGGGAGAAGTCTAAAGAAGAATAAGACATGCTCCCTGTTTCTAACTTGTTTAAAGAGTATGCTTTTGAAGTGACTGGCTCATTTAGGAATTACGCCCTTGACTTTTACTAGCTTCAATCTGGGGACAGAGACATAGGTAACCTAATAGGGATAATATTGATGATGAAGCCAGTTACATTTCCTGGTTGCATGATCTTTTAAAGCTTTTTATTCTTAAATGCTCGATTCATGTGCTCATTTTAGAAAATAGGGAAAACATAGTAAAGCATATTGAAAAAAAAAAAGCACGCATGATTATGTAACTCAGAGAAATACTATATTATACTATACCATATGTATATATACACATATATGTATATATATAGTGGTGGCTGTGTGCTGTAGAGTTGGTTCCGACTCATAGGGACCCTGTACTCATAGGTTTCGAGGCTGTAAATCTTTACGGGAGCAGAAAGCCTCTTCTTTCTCCTGTGGAACAGCTGGTAGTTTCGAACTGCTGACCTTAAGGTTCACAGGCATATACATATATACATGAACTGCAAGGTTGGCAGTTCAAGCTCACTCCTGCTTGGAAACCCTATACAGGATTGCTATGGGTCGGAACCGACTCGACGGCACTTAACAACCACATATATGTATATATACTATAAAATAATACCTTTATTAGTATATTAGTGTTTTATTTCTTTCTGTTGTTAAGTGCCATCAAATCAGTTTCGGCTCATAGCGACCCTGTATAGGGTTTCCAAGGAATGGTTGGTGGGTTTGAGCTGTTGACCATGTGATTTGCAGTCCAGTGTTGATCCTACAGTGCTGTTAGATTTGTTATACATATGTTTGAAAACAATTTCTTTTAAACTTGCTACAGTAAGCGGGAGGGTCAGAGAAAAAGAGGAAGACCCTCAACGAGATGGATTGGCCAAGTGACAGCATTGATGGACTCAAGTGTGGTAACAGTAGTGAGGTTGGCCCAGGATCGGGCAGTGTTTCATTCTGCTGTGCATAAGGTCGCTATGAGTTGGTACCGACTCGATGGCACCTAACAACAACATAGTAGTGTAGTGGTTACGAGTCAGTCTTCTAACCTCAAGGTCATCAGTTTGAAATTACCAGTTGTTCTGTGGGAGAAAGTTGAGGCTTATAGATTTACAGCTTGGAAACCCTATACAGGGTCGCTGTGAGTCAGAACTGACTCCACAGCACATAACTACTACCACCATATTATAGTGTGCATTCTCCATGTCATTTGTCAGCAATATTCATATTTCATATTTTCTTGGCACATGGTTGGCTTAAGTCACTTTTATATATAAATGAATGCATAAATTCATAAATAAGATTTTTTTTAAGATTTAGAATATATATTTGTACTAGTTTTACAAAGGGAATTGATACTTTAGTAAGTAATTGATATTTTATTTATTTGAGAAAAGTCCATTGTAGTTTGCCGGAATTTTTACTTTCTTTATTACTTTGTAGCTCAGAAGTTTATAGATTAAATCTAGAACAAGGAAGATACCTGAATCCTCTACAGACTGATGCTGCGTGAGTATTTTAATCATACTGCTCTTTTTGACCAGGAGATGGAGCTAGATCTCAACTTGCTATCAAACAATATGGAATAGTCCATTTAACCAAAACTCCTTAAAAATAGTTAGAAATATGTTAAATTTTATTTTACAACAAAAATATCACTGAAGTACCTGGTGATTTTTAAAAAATTTTAATTTAGGAAGTTTAAAAACTTTTAAAAGCAAAACAAAAAAACCCTTTCTCCAGTGTCCTTAGCATTTTCATTCTTTGTTTTATTTTATGGTATTCTCTGTGAAGAAATCTTGAATTAAGTACCATTTTTCATTTCTTGTCTTTTTGCTGGCAGACAGTTAAGGTTTTTTTCCCCAGGTTTTCTCCTTTTCACATAATATTGTCTAATGTTGTTGTTAAGTGCCATCGAGTCGGTTTGACCCCTGTATAGGGTTTCCGAGGAGCAGCTGGTGAGCTTGTATATTTATGACAAATTCTCTAGGTGTTAGTGTCTCACCACCAGCACCATCATCATCACAATGCTGAATGCATTTAAATGTTGTTCTTAAGGGACCTGTAAAGGAGTCCTGGACTGCAAAGTGGTTTGAACTGCAGTCGTCGGTGGTTCAAGCTCACCAGTTGCTCCTTGGAAACCCTATACAGGGTCGCTGTGGGTTGGAATCGGCTTGATGGAACTTAACAACAACAACATAGGAGTCCTGGTGTGGCACTGTGGGGTAATGTGCTGGACTGCAAAGTCAATTTGAACCACAGGGTTGGTGCCTCAAACTTACCATCCACTCCTTGGAAACCCTATGCAGGGTCACTATTAGTCAAAACTGACTTGATGACACTTAACAACAACATAGGGTTTCCAAGGTTTGTAAATCTTTGTGGGAGCAGAAAGCCTCATTTTTTTCACTTACTATATGCTAGACATTTTTCAGTCATTTCATACATATTCTTGTCCTTGTTAAATGCTGTCCCGTTCTGAGGAACAGCTGGTGGGTTTGTCATGTTTTTCCCTGGTTTTGTTAACTGGGGGAGGGGAAGAGGGGAGTGATGGGGGGGTCTAAAGAATTAGTCTCACAGAGCCAGTACTTCTCAATCACACATGAACAATAAGCATTAACTCAGAAGCTCTTCTCTCTTTGTACACTTCAAAGAGAGAAGTGGGTCTGTTCACGAGTGGAGAAGACCCTGTGGGATTGAGGTGCACTGGCTTATAAGGATATGGGGTCTCCTCCTCTAAGAGTGGGCTGATACATATTGATTAGGAGGAGGAGTGGTATGTTGAATATTCATTTGAGTTTTAGTAAAAGGTCATAGAGTGCTTTTTGCAGTTGTCAGCTCTAGGGGCTATTTTAATGGGCTTTCTACCAAGTTCTTCCTCTTTGCTACCAGTTTCTTTTCTCTACTGGGGTTTCAACTCCTGGTATCTTTATCTCTGTCTCCAGGCTGTTCCTCTCAATGTTACTTTTCTTTTTCTTTCTTTCTTTTTTTATGTTTTTATTGTGGATTGAGTGAAAGTTTACAAGAAAGATCATCAGTTTTACATTCAACAAATCATATACCTTATTTCATTAACAATGATTATAATCCCCTCCAGGTACCATCAGTTAACAGTATTTCTCTCTATTCACTTTAGCTCTTTTTTTTTCTAAACACTCAGGTATATATAATAATTTACACCACCAAAGGGCACCTTCTGCAAGTCTGCCTCCTAGGCGCTATCTCTTAGTCCCTCTCTTTCCATGAATCTAGTGTCCTCAGCAGCTCCCTCTCTCTATCTCTGGTATTGCTGCTTCTCTGGATAAGATCCCTCATTCCGCTTTTGCTCTTCTCCCTTGATGGTCCTAGGGTCCTTTGTTTCTGGACTGTAAGATTAACTACTCCCACATTTTTGTTACAAAACTTCTACCTTTACAACTGTGACAGTCACAATTAGTCATGATAACAATTATTCACTATCAAATCATAAGAATCGTATTCCCATCTCTTTTTACCAGACCTATCTAGACAAGATGAAAACTATTCAGTCGGGACTCTCTCTTCCCCCACATGCTATTAAACTAAACTCTCCCTTGAAAACTTGTAAGCCAGTCCACTTGGTACCTTTATCACCCCTTCATTTTAGGTAGCCAATGTCTAAGTTGCCTGTCCCTGTCTATCCTGTGTACAGAGGGGATAGCATTGATACTTGATGTGAAGACTCCTTTCCTGTCTGTTGGTGTTTAGAGTTACTACCTCTGTGAGTATAGGTCAAGTTCATCAAATTGTAGCAATTTACTCTTGTTTCCTTTATCAAAAATTGTTTTGTTCTTTTTTTGTTTTTTCATCTTCCTCTAGTCGAGTTCTGATTATCAAGCCATCAAGGCTAGGTCAAATAGTTACTATCTGCAACTTTGGGTGTTCTTGTGTGACTCCTCTCACTTCGTATCAGCTGGGTGCTTCACTCTTAGCTATAGCCGTCTATAGTCAATGTTACTTTTCTTGTTGGACTAGGTTGTCTTCCCCTTTTCTTGATCCCTGTCAAGTAGGAGAAGACTTAGGGCAAAGGGGCAGATAGAAAGCCAGGGTAAGAGAGACCTAGGGCCCAGCGGTACTAATCTGTCCCTGACAGGTTTGAACCTCAGCCCTTGTAGTTAGCAGTCCAATGCTTATCCCACAGTGCCACACCATTAGTATTGTTGTGTGGTGGTCAGTTCCGACCCATAGCAGTCCTGTATAGGGTCTCTGAGGAGCAACTGGTGAGCTTGAACTGCCAACCTTGTGGTTCAAACCTACTTTGCAGTCCAGCGCTTTATTAGCTTACTTTAAACTTAAACCAGTTTTTACTCTGGGTTTATTATTGTCTCCATTTTGCAGGCAGGATAGCTTAGGCTGTAAAGGTTAAGTAACTTCCCCAAAGACACATCTCATTTATGACTATAAGGAACTTATTAAATCTTCCGTATTGCTTTAAAATGATTTTTAAATGTTAGAAAAACAAGTGATGATAAACTAGTAGCTCTCTGCTACTTACTATTTTTATCATTTAAGAAAAATTTCTAAATAAACTTTTGAGAATTTTTTTCACATTGGATTGAAATACTTTTTGTTGTTTTAACTTCAGAATGTGTTATGGAATAATGAAAAGCTATCTGCTCTTTAGCAACATGATCTCTGTTTGTAATAATTGTTGTTGTTAACTGCAGTCAAGTCAGTTCCCACCCATCTCTATAGGGTTTTTAAGGAGTGCCTGGTGAGCTTATAATAATAGTGACTGTTTATTGAGTGTCTTGTACACTCTGGACATTGTGCTGAGCATTTATTTGGCTGTTCTTTTTATTTAATCCGCACCACATCCCAATGCAGTAGGGAGAGGAATCAATATACCCAGCAAGGTAATTGACTTTAGATCAGTGTACCCAACTCAAGCTTGGGTTTTATGATTCTCATAGTTCTTGTTCTTTCAAAAGTGCTACCTTGCCTGGGAAGAAAATAAATTGAGAAAATGAAACAAGGCTTTATTCTCAGTAGTTTTTCAGGAGGAAACCTTTCCTTGTTCCATCAAGTAGCAAGTAGAGTGCTACCCTGGTGGTGGTGGTGACTGTGAGCCAAGCTGCTTAGCCCTTTTATGCCTAGGCAGATGAATGAGAGACAATTTGCATATCCGTTTCTTCACATAATTTGAGTTGCCTCAAGATTAGCAACAATTGTGAGGATGGTCAGGCCTGGCAGTGTTTCCTTCTGTTGTGCATAAGGTTACTAGGTGTCGGAACCTACTCCAGGGTACCTAAAGATGGTGAATATTTAGAAAGCTTATTGAATGTCTCTCTCTCTCCTAAAGTAAATGCTAACATACTTTTCCTCATTGTTTTACTGTTGCAGGGAGAATAATGTTTGTGACATCAATTCCGAGCATGGCTTGTTTGCCACTGGAACAGTGGAGGTAAGCATATATTGATGTTAGTTTTTGAGATACTTATTTTATGTTAGATAGTGAATGGAATGTTTAAGATAATGATAGAGTTGCTTGGTTCCTTAGAACAGGACACTAATGGGGCACCAGATACTGGTTTGCTTTTAATATATATTCAAACATTTATTGTTTCATGCAAATACACAGCTATGTAGACTGTACCCCAGTGGGCATCTGACATGGCATACCTTTACACTGACCTCCACTTCAGGAACTAGATGAAAAGAGTCAGCTGAGTGCAGCCTGTCACTGCTGCATCGTCTCCTCCAGGGGCATTGTGTATAGCCACTCTGGTTTTTAACAGGAGGCAATAAAACTATGGTGATCTAGCTGTCTGCTACTTATTAATTTTATGACCGTGAATTAGTAACTCTTCCTGAGGCTTAATTTCTTCACCTGAGAAATGGAGATAAAAGTACTTCTCTCACCAACTTTACTGAGTCCTGGCTGTGCAGTGGATTACACATTGGGCTGCTAACCACAGGTCAACAGTTTGAATCCACCAGCTGCTCTTTGGGAGAAAGATGAGAGTTTCTGCTTCTGTACAGATATACAGCCTTGGAAACCCAATACCGTGTTGCTATGAGTTGGAATTGACTCGACAGCATACAGCAGCCACCACCAACTTTATAGAGGTGTTGGTGACAAACATGATAAACCAACTTATGTGAAAACAACATACTCACTCCTCACTGATTGACATGGTTAGGTTCCATGTGAAAATTGGCATTTACGGAAAGCTTCCAGCCTGACTCCAGGTGTCATTTTGCATGTGTCCCGTGGGGCTGTTCCCGTCTCTGCACTTGCCAACCTGCAGCTTGCTTGTTTCCACATGTGTCTTCTGTACTTCTAGAGGGTTGGCAGAGCTGATTGGATCATGATTTGCAGCCAGGAGGGGACCTACCTTATCCAACTCTTTTTCTCCATGGAAATAATCACCCACCCTGCCCTGAAACGCTGCCCACTGGTCCCAGAACCTCCAAATGTGCAAATGGTGGATCTTGGGCCCCACAGCAAAGTAACCTCCACACTTCTTGTCTGTGTTTCTTTGTTGTCTTTTCACAGACTTAACAGCCTGAAGCACAGCTCTGTTTGGACAGCAGGGGAGTCACCAGCCTGTGGGCAGAGATGTAGCCTTTTATTCCCCTCTTCTTTTAGCTGTTCCCATCTAAGACTCGGGAGAGGACTGTGTTAGGAAGGATGCTGACTTGAGGCACTCTCTCATTCAAAACACATGGTTCCTTATCTAGTTTTAATTAGATTTTTCACTGTTTTATTTTAAATTGTCAAAATTATCAAATTTAGCTCATGGTAAACATTTAAAGCACTAAAAGGAGCTCTGGTAGCATAGTATTTATGAATCGGGCTGGTAACCTCAGGGTTGGCAGTTTGAAACTACCAGCTGTTCCACTGGACAAAGGAGGCGTTCTGCTCCTGTAAAGATCTGCCACCTTGGAAACCCTGTGCAGGGTCACTATGCGTCGGAACTGATTCTACGGTACTTAACAACAACAAACAATGAAAGGATATATGGTAAAAAGTTAAAATTTTATTCCTCTTGAGATAATTAACGTTGTTATTGTTAATTGCTGTCAAGTCGGTTTCAACTCATAGCAATCCTGTATCACATTCCCAAGGAGTGGCTGGTGGGTTTGAATCACCAACTTTGCAGTTAGCACTCCAGTGCCTATTCTGCAGTGCCATACCAGGACTCTGTAGTGCTAAAGTTGTCTAAACTTTTTGTAATAGCAGCTGTTATTTAAAATAACGACTTTTTATTTGTTCAGGGTCGAGTAGAGTGCTGGGACCCACGAACTCGAAATAGAGTTGGTCTCTTAGACTGTGCACTAAGTAGTGTCACAGCAGATTCAGAGTAAGTAACTATTAAATTGTTAATGTTATAAAATGTACTAAAAATGTTCATTAGTTCATTAGCTTCTGATTTAAACAAATATATCAGTGTACTAAAATAATTTACATACTAACATAAATTGCTAAAGTACAGAATCCTCAAGGCTTGTATCTGAGATGGTATATTTCTGAATGTTTTATTTAAAATTTTTTTGCCTGTAAAAAATCACTAAGTAGATAAGCCATATAAAACTATTTTCTCAAGTACTACATGGTTGTGTTTATGGTGCTTGCGTGCTGTAGAGTTGGTCCCGACTCATGGTGTCACTATATAGGGTTTCTGAGACTAAATCTTTATGCATGCAGAAAGCCTCATCTTTCTCCTGCAGAGTGTCTGGTAGAGTTGAACTGCTGACTTTGCGATTAGCAGTCCAACTCGGTACCTGCTACATTACCAGGGCTTCTTAAAGTACTGATAGGCTACCTTATTATTTTTTTTAGCTGCAGTGGAAGTTTTAAAAAACAAATAGACTGCTGAAATTTACGCTCCCAGTGTTGTCATATGTAGTGATAGAACCAAGAATTCACTTCCACCCCTACTAGCAAACAAGATGTGCTTTTAATTGTAAGGTGGTGATCAGAAAATGTTTTTAAATATTTTCTTGCTTCTGTTTTCCTAATTCCTAGATGTAAAACAATTAGAAAAATAGTATACACTTAGGGAAAAACAAGTTTCCTGTCTTTTCCCCATTCAGATGAAGTGATTATTTTTTCACAGTTGATATATAGCCTTTCAAATACTTTTATATGGTCATATTAACACATATATAGCTATATCACTTGTTTGGTCATATCCTTGACATGGTATTATTTACTATAAGCAACTCATGGATGCCTTTCCTCTGGACTCTTAATAGACATGTTTTGTTGTTAGGTGCAGTTATTAAGTTCTATATATGGTTTCTGAGGCTGTAATTCTTTATGAAGCAGAAAGCCTCATCTTTCTCCCTCAGAGTAGCTGGTAGGTTTGAACCACGGACCTTGTGGTTAGCAGCTGAGTGCTTATCCTACAGCACCACACCATTTAAATTGAAAATTTTACTTATTCTACGTTTGTTAATAGAATGTAAAAAGGAAAATCCATATAAGCTATTTCATCATATGAACGTAATATGAAATGGATCAGAAACCTGCTTAGTTTTAGAAAGAAGATAATCAATGTGAAATACATAGAAAGCAGTGAAGTTGCTTTTTTCTATTTGTTAAACATTAACTTGTACTTGAATTAAAATAAAGATGTTTGAGTTTAGTACAATCTCTGTCATCTGGAAAAGTCATTTGAGAAAATGGACCAGCAGGAGTTATTGGTAATATGTCTAAGACTATTTCTACTGTTGATTTAATGACTGAAATTGTAGAAAATTTAGGGAAGAGATGTAAGAAAATACTCCTGATTGTGATGTTTAAAAACATGTAAGTACTTATTTTGTATGTTTGATTATTTAAAAAATAGAATGTTAGCAAGCATAACATAAATAGCTTCCTTTTTCCTTTGTTGTTAAGTGCCGTGGAGTTGGTTCAGACCCATTGCGACCCTGTGTAGGGTTTCCGATAAGCAGCTGGTGAGCTTGAACCGCCAACCTTGCAGTTCAAACGGCTTTGCAGTGTGGTGCATTAACCCACAGTGCAAAGTTTCTAGAGACAAAATTTATAGAAACTGAATTCTTCTGTTAAAGAGTGTGAATGTTTTTAAAATTTTTGAGACACAGTGCTAAATTGCCTTACAGAAAATTTACATCAGTTTATGCTTGATGTGGTGCTGTGCGTTAATGTGCCGGACTGCAAAGTCAGTTTGAACTTCAAGGTTGGTGGTTCAAGCTTCCCAGCTGCTCCTTGGAAACCCTTTACAGGGTCGCTATGAGTCAGAACTGACTTGACAGCACTTAACAACAACAACATGTTTCTACCAGCGTATGGAATTCATGCTCTTTCATTCTCCTTAGCCCAAGGCATTCAACACCATGTTAGTAATATTAAATGATAGAGCCTAGACATTTAGCAAGAGGATATCGATTAAATTAAACTTGGTAGAAATAATAGCTATTAGCTGTTGTTATATGTTGTCACTTTGATTTCCACTCATAGAGACCACGTAGACGAGGTAACTGCCCTATAGGGTTTCCACAGCTATAATCTTTACCAAAGCCTACTGCACATCTTTCACCCATGAAGTGGTTGGTGGGTTCAAACCACCAGCCATCCTGTTAGCAACTGAATGTGTAACTAGTGTGCCACGAGGGCTCCTTAGCTAATATTTTCCAAGTACTTTGCTAAATTCATAAATATAGTAACTTAATTCAGTCCTCACAACAATGCATTGATGTATACTATTGGTTTTACAGATGAGGAAATGCCATCAATGGCATATATAATATACGAATGACATATATAGCCTTTAAGAATTATATTACAGAAGCATATTTATTACTATGTAAAGATGGTTGGTCAAATCCTTTCATCTGTGTTTGAAGAAGTACAGCCAGAGTGTTCCTTGGAAGCCAGAATGGCCAGACTTAATTTTTCATGCTTCAGATATATTATCAGGAGGGACCAGTCGTTGGAGAAGGATATCATGTTTGGTAAAGTGGAGGGTCAGGGAAAAAAAGAGGAAGACCCCCAATGAGATGACTTGGCATAGTGGCAACAGTAATGGATTCATGGATTCAGGCGTAGCTGTGATTGTGAGGTTAACGCAGGGCTGGGCAGTGTTTTGTTTTGTTGTGCATAGGGTTGCTGTGAGTCGGTACTGACTTGACGGCACCTAACAACTAAACAACAACAACAAAGATGTTCATAATATAAAGTAACTTATATAGTTGCCTATAGAATTTTAACAACTTTTTTTTTTTACTATGTGTATGTACCCATTCAGACGGACCCAGGCATACCACTCACTAACTTCCTTCGTTGATTCTGACTCGTAGTGACCATATATGTGTTAGAGTAGAACTATTTTCCATATGGTTTTCAATGGCTGATTTTCTGGAAGTAGATTGCCAGGAGAATATGAAAAGTACCATGGACTGCCAGAAGAACAAACCAATCTGTTTTGGAAGACTGACAGCCAGAATGCTCCTTGGAAGCCAGGATGGCCAGACTTCATTTCTCATTGTTGTTGTTAGGTGCCAGCAAGTCAGTACCGACTCATAACAACGTTATGCACAACTGAACGAAGCAGTGCTTGGTCCTGTGCTAATCTCACCATCATTGCTATACCTGAGCCCATTGCTGCTGCCACTGTGCCAGTCCATTTCCATGGGGGTCTTCCTCTTTTTTGCTGACCCTTCACTTTACCAAGCATGGTGTTCTTCTCCACAGATTGGTCCCTACTGATAGTATGGCTGAAGGAGCATTCTGGCTGTACTTCTTCCAACACAGATTGGTTTGTTCTTCTGGCAATTTTTGTTGTTGTTATTAGGTGCCATGAAGTCTGTACTGACTCATAGTGACCCTATGCACAACAGAATGGAATACTGCCTGGTCTTGGGCCAACCTCACAATTGTTGCCACACTTGAGCCCATTAGAATTTTAACAGATTTTTATAAGGAAAAAAATAAATACATACGTATAATCATAGGAAAAACCTGGAAGTACACCAAAATACTATGAGTAGCTTTTCTAACTGCTTTAGTTTCACCTGACTATGTTTTATGCCTTTTTCCACCTACATAAATGTAAACTGTCACCTCTATTGTGTAACAGCGTTCTAAAAGATGGGACCAATATAAGAAGAGAATTGTTGTTGTTGTAAAGTGCTGTTGAGTCAGTTCTGACCCATAGTGACCCTGAATTGGGTTTCCAAGGAGTAGCTGGTGAGCTTGAACCACCAACCTTGCAGTTCAAATGGCTTTGCAATCTGACGCATTAATCCACAACGCCACAATAAAAACATGTTAATAGTGGAAAAGGGAGGACAGATTATCATTATTTGCAATTGATAAGGTTTTGTACCTGAGAAGGCCAGTAGAATCAACTGAAAAGCTGTGAGAACTACCATGAGATTTGTTAGGTTACAAAATAACTATACAGATCAGTGACTTTGGTATTTATCAGCAATATCCAGTTAGAAAAATTATAATGAAAACATATTTTCAGTTCTGACAATAAAAATTATTAAATAACTGAAGAATAAACTTGATGAGTATGTATCTGAAGAAAGCAAAGTTTTGTTTAAAAACAAAATAAAATTTAAATGTTGTTGTTAAGTGCCATTGAGTTGGTTCCGACTCATAGTTACCCTGTATAGAGCTTCTGAGGAGTGGCTGGTGAGGTTGAACCGCTGATTTTGCAGTTCAAACCGATCTTGCGGTCCAGTACATTATCCCACAGCACCACACCAGGATAACCTGTTATTGTATTAAAATACGATTCTAAGGTTCATTTTGAAGATTACATAAGCAAAAATGATGTGGATGTGAGCTATAGGTTCTAAACAGGTTCATCAGTGTAGTTACTGGCTGAGACTTTAGATGGCATAAGAGACTGGATGATACTAATGGCACTCTGGACTAGAATTCCTAGATCAAGAATACATAGACAATACGTATTGAAATTAGCATTGTTGTCCTTTCTGACTTGTGTCTAGCACTCTTTCCACTATAGATCATTGCTTTTGATACTAATACTGTTGATTGGTGAGTCAGAGCATATTCTAGAGTCTAGCCATAATCACCCATTCAGTCTTTGGTGCTTACAGAGACTGTGTGGTCCCCATTCAGGGGCTTGTCTTTAGTTATGGTTAACATAACATTAAAATGGAATTGAATATGTGGTGGTGGTGGTTATGTGCCGTGGAGTCAGTTCCGACTCATAGTGACCATACCCAATATTGTTTCTTTGTTAAAAAGCAATATTTCTGTAAATACTTTACTCTAAGTAAATTAAAATGGAATATATTGTCATATTGTTCTTTTTCAATTGATTTTACATTTTCCAGTAACTTTTTATTTTGTCTGTAGTTACTTGAGAATATTTTAAATATTTTTTCAGGATAATTTACAGTCTTTAAAAGGCAGATTACATTTGTATGTTAAACTTACTTTTTATTTTAATTATGAAAGTTTGGATGCAATGATCTTTTAAACAGAAGGCTAGAAATATGATTTTTCCTCTGTTACATTTGAAGTGAAGATTAATAATGAATTTGTTACTTGGAAGGAGTTCTGGCCTTATATACATGGAGCTTATATTTTTTGCCTTTCAGGATAAACAGTATACCAACAATCTCAGCTTTGAAATTCAATGGTGCCTTGACCATGGCAGTTGGAACATCCACGGGACAGGTAAATACGTTTGAGTTGGAAATTAGATTTATATATGAGGTAGGAAATAGCCACATATCTACTAATCAGGGAAACTGAAAATGAGGCATTATTATTTAGGTCAGAGTGGAGCTGACATATGTTAAAGAGTATGCATGTTTTTAAGATTTTTGTCAGCTTCTTCTAGGACCTTGAGAGATGTTGATTCTGACCTTGGTGATTGGTCTGGCAGACTCTAGATCTGGAGCTACAGTGGGTAGGCCTCAGTTGTTCTTCTTGCTAGTGTTTAGGAACAATATTTTCTAGAGTGGATGGAATAAAGTTCTTTGGCCCCCCAAAAATGGTGTTCTTCCAAGCTTTTAATCTCAGAAATTCACAGTGTGTTTAAACACAAAATGAAGGCTCTCAGAATTCTTACAGTATTTCCAAAATTTACTTGCCCCGGGCACCTTTTTTCATGTAGCACCAGTAATTATATCCCATGCAATGAATGGTTAACAGAATACACTTTAGAAAATGCTAGTCTGAGGAGTGGGGATGAAATAGCTGAGATAATCTGGTTTATTCTTTTCTTCATTTTTTTTTTGTTTACCTCTAATTAAACATATGTAAATTTTGATTAATTATTTTGTAAATCACTGAATTGAAAGTAGACCATAGGCATTTGACTATATTTCTTTTTCTAAGAAAAAATATGTTTTTAATATTTACAGGAATATTAAAAGCATTGCTATCCAGTGAAATTAAGGACATCTGATAGCGTAGTGGTTATGAATTGGGCTGCTAACCTCAAGGTCGGCAGTTTGACACTACCAACTGTTCTGCGGGAGGAAGATGAGGCTTTCTGCTCCTGTAAAGATTTACAGCTTCGGAAACCCTGTACAGGGTTGCTATGAGTTGGAACCGACTCCATGGCACATAACAACAACAACCCAGTGAAATTTGCACTTTTTTTCTTGATATATGTTCCTGTAGTAAGGAGAACAATCAAAATCACTCCATTAATCATTGTTTTAAATTTTTTTTCCCCTCACTTTTGTACACATACATATATCATTGGAAATACACAGAATAATCAGTTTCCCTTGGAGAATGGAGGGTATAGTTTTCCCAATTTATTGTTTTGTACCTCTATATTTTTTCTTTTTTTACATTAAATAAACAAAAAAAATATAAATTTAAATGTCCAAAGGACTCATTCTGCCAGCCAGCCTCCTGCCCACAAGCACACAGCCACCGTCTCTGCTGTTTCTGCTTTTCTAGGTAGGATTTCATACTCCACTCATGCTCTTCCTTCTTGATGGTCCTGGAATCATCTGTTCCTGAAATGAAAGGTTAACTACTCCCGCCTTTTTGTTACACATCTTCTACAATTATAGTTGTGACAATTGCAGTTAATGCTGTTAACAGTTACTTACAATTGAGTCATAAAACTCTATCACTGTTGTCCCCCATCTGCTTTCACCAGATCCATCTGGGAAAGAGAAACACTATGCAGATTCTACCTTACCCTCCTGCTTCTGCAACTAAGCACACTCATGAAAACTTGTAAGCCAGCCACTTCATGCCTTTGTAGCCTCCCCCGCCCCCCCATCTTTGATAGCCAGTGTCTGAATTTCTCATCCCTATCAACCCAGTACACTGAGGATGCAAGGTTGTTCCGTGATATGAAGAATGCTTCCATTCTGGTTGGAATTTTGAGTAACTGCATTTATAGGCAAAAATCTAGTTTGTCAAATGGTAGCAATTTGCATTTTTTCTCAATATCAAACATCTTTGGTTTGAGTTCTAGTCAACTAGCCATCCAAACTAGGCCAAATGGGTACTAGCAACAAGTTTGGCAGTTCGCAAACAGTCAGATCAGCTGGCTGGTTCACTCTCAGCCATAGCCCCCAGGGGCTAGGCCTGTGTCCATGGGCTTAGGAGTTTACACCTCTTCCTAAACTTCAGTCCAGCCAGCCCATCTTTTCTCTCACCTCAAGGTCAATGGGTGCCAATAGAAAATGGCTATACTCAGCCCAGGTCTTCATTGCTGCATTCCCCACATTTCCTCTCAGGTAGACCTGCAGGTAGTCACCAGCAAGCATACTATACAGCTCTAGGGCTCCTTTCTAGTTTCCATTCTAGAATGGGGTTTTCCCTGGCTGACTTCTTTCCTTGCTGCCTACAAAGCAAAAAACAGCTGGCTTGTTATCCAAACAGTCTGCTGTTTTTTCTGCTGGTCTTTGTTTCAATAAGAATCTTCTATTTTCCCAGCAGTTCTGGGTTGATCTGCACGGCTTTTCAAGAGGGAATGTCCCAGTTCAGAAGGTTCAGGGTGTAGCTCAGGCCCTGTGCTCTATAAAGGCTTAACAAGTACCTATTTCCCTGGGAAAATGCTAACTCCTCTTTTAGAAAATCCAATCAGTTATAGGCCGAAGACGGCCTTATAAGATTTTTGTCGTCATAATTCCCAATATTAATTTCTATCACACATAATTGTTTTACAGTAGTAGGCAGGGGAAATCAAATGTCTACAGGGCAGTCAAACACATTTTCCCCTCCTTTATCCATTCCGCCTATGTCTCTATCCATGTATTTACTCACAGCACACTGTTCCAATATTGTGTATAAATCACTATTTATCTCTATCACATTTAGCTCGTGCATACCTTCCTAAGTCTTCCCTATATTCATTGTTCTTCTGCCACTCTCCCTTCTTCTAGTGAATTGCCCTTCCCCTCCTTGTTTATGGCCCTCTCTGTCATCTGAGCTAACATGTATCTACCCTCAAGCCAGTCTATTACTCCTCCTTCCCATAACAATCAAAAAATGTTTCTTTTTGTATGGAAACCTTTTTGTAAGTTTTCACAATAATGGTCTTGTATGATATTTATTTGCCCTTTTCTGATTGACTAATTTCACTCAGCATAATGTCCTTGAGGTTCATCTGTGTTATGAGGTGGTTGGCAAATTCATTGTTATTCTTCAATATTGCATAGTATTCCATTGTGTGTATGCACCAAAATTTGTTTATCCCGTCTTCCATTGATGGGCACTAGGCTATTGATTATATTTCCGAATGACTCATACAAGTTGCTGGAAGGCTCTGCTCACCAGGCAAGCCCTTTGAGAAAATAAGAGTCCAAGAACCACCTGGTGTCATGAAAATTACCACTTCCCTTTACTTTTAACACCTTTATCTCCCCACTTTCTCATTGGGAGACTGTTGCAAAAATAGACAAATAACCTGTATGTGATGTTGTTGTTAAGTGCCATGGAGTCGGTTCCAACTCATAGCGACCCTGCACAGGATTTCCAAGGCTATAAATCTTTACAGGAGCAGAAAGCCTCATCTTTCTCCCGTGGAACTGCTGGTAGTTTTGAACTGCTGACAATGAGATTAGCAGCCCAATTCATAGCCACTATGCTATATACAGCAATAATTATTTTCTTGTTCTTATAATAGAAATAAGTTAGTTCCTATAGTCTAGTCTTTTCTATTCAAGATTCAAAGTCTTCAGCAAAGTGAAAGAGCTATGAATGGCAGTTGTTGTTGTTGTTGTTGTTGTCATGTGCCGTGGAATGGCAGTAGGAAAAAAAAAGTTGAACATTTAAAAAGCATGACTGTTGATGGAACAAAAATAATTCATTTCTATTTGTGCAGTTGAACTTGTTGATTCTTTTAGATTAAGTGAAAAATTCTGTGTAGTTCTTTCTAAAAAGCATCTTACTTCATGCTGACTTTAAGAGAATTACCCAGTAGAAATTGGATAATATGTGTAAGGAGTCATAAGAGTTGGGCTGTAATTGGAAATACCGGTTTGGAAAGACAAAACAAGTAGCTAAGTTTTTCTCTAAACTTATCAAAGAGTAATATGTACTTGAGGATGATTAAATCAGACATATAAAAACTTAGCACTTGTTGAGCACTCATGATGTGCTTTTCCTTGTCCTCTTTATACATATTTACTCCATTCAGTTATTTTCTAGCAAACTAGTCAGTCCACACACCCATCCAACATGCATGTGTCTGTCCTATAGCCTTTTGAATACTACAGAATGAGATAAACCCAGTATTGATAACAAGTGGAATATTTAGAATTCTCCAGTTCTCTCATAATCATAGTTAAGAAATGACCATTGTCTAAAGAGAGACTGATTGAAATGTCTGTTTCTATGAGCAGTAGCTAACCTGGATCCCATTAATACCATCTTCATGAGGTATCAAGGAAGAATCCACGTATTTGTAAATTTTCCCTACCAAATAGATTTACTGTCTCCATCATCGTGAGTCAATAGGGAATAAAACTAGCTTCCCCAGAACCTGTTGACAGGGTTCAGAAAAGATCCCTCCCTAATAGTCATAGCTTTGTTGTTGTTAAGTGCCATCAAGTTCAAGTTGATTCCAACTCAGCGACCTGTATAGAGTTTCCAAGGAGCAACTGGTGAGTTTGAACCACCACCCTTGCATTTCAAACCAACATTGCAGTCCAATGCTTACCCTACAGTGCCACACCAGGACTCCTAGTCAGTACTTTACCACATCATTTATTTGTATTGAATTTATCAAGATTATCTTTATTATACGGAATCTGGTGGATTAAGTGTTGGACTGCTAGTCTCAAGGTTGGCAGCTCATACCATCAGCCCCTCTTTGGTAGAATGATGAGATTGTATGCCTGTAAAGATTCTTGGAAACCCTAAGAAGCAATTCTACTCAGTCCTACAAGGTTGCTTGGAGTCAGAATCTATTAGATGGCAGTGGGGTTTTTTATCTTCATTGTGCTTTTAAGTTGCTTTTTATGTTAGTCACTATGACGGTGCCTTGTACATTGAATGCCCTCAGTATATACAAGGGGGCTTTAAAAAGTTGGTGGGAAAATTAAATTAAAAGATAATGGGCCTTTTGGCTGGAGTCACCACCTTGCAGTAATCCACCAAGATGACAAACACAAAGGGAAAGAGGCGGGGCACCCGCTATATGTTCACCCAGCCTTTCAGAAAACATGGGGTCATTCCTTGGCCACATACATGTGAATCTACAAGAAAGGTGATATTGTGGATATCAAGGGAATGGGTCCAGTTCAAAAAGGCATGCCCCACAAATGTTACCATAGCAAAACTGGAAGAGTCTACAATGTGACCCATCATGCTGTCGGCATTGTTGTGAACAAGCAAGTCAAGGGCAAGATTCTTGCCAAGAGGATTAATAAGCACATGAGCATATTAAGCACTCTAAGAGCTGAGACAGCTTCCTGAAGTTAGTGAAGGAAAATGATCAGAAAAAGTAGGAAGCCAAAGATAAAAGTAACTAGATTCAACTAAAGCGCCAGCCTGCTCCCCCAAGAGAGGTGCGTTTTGTGAGAACCAATGGAAAGGAGCCTGAGCCGCTAGAACCTATTCCTTATGAATTCCTGGCATAGCAGGAGTAAAATGAAAATGTCTGAGGTGTACAAATGTCAGTTCTTTGGTTGTAATTGTGTGGAGCTGTGGTGCCCTTTCCCCCAAATAGGTAATATTTAAAACACATTTTGTTGTCCAATTTGCTTGATAATAAACACTTTCACTATTGAAAAAATAAATAAAAAGATCATGGAATTTTTCCACCAACTTTTATGGCCAACTTTAACTTAGCACTCTGAGCAGGGCATTCATTGTGTTCATAAAAAGATGATAAAACAAATAAATGTCAATCATTTTAAGTTTTAAATGTTTCTTTTTGATATAAAATATTTAGTTGGTTTAAGCAGAGGTAACTTTTTTTTTTCTTGTAGGTTTTATTATATGATCTTCGATCTGATAAGCCATTGCTGGTTAAGGATCACCAATATGGTCTGCCTATTAAGTCAGTTCATTTCCAGGAGTCATTAGATTTAATTTTGTCTGCAGACTCTCGAATTATCAAAATGTGGAACAAGAACTCAGTACGTACTTTTTGTTAACATATCTTCCTTATTTGCTCATTTTTCTAGTGCTGCTTTTCTTCCATTGCCTTATTTTAGTCATGTGGGTTCTTTAGATAAAGACACTGAATGCCCATTTGCAAATTTAGTAGGAATTAGCTACTTCAGCATAGATAATAGCTACACGCAGGTAATTATTAATGAAGCTTTTCGTATTTTCAAGAATGGGCATACATATGTACAGTTAATTAGAGAGTAAATGTTTATGTAAAAAGTTGATCCATAGAAATCTTTCTAGATCTTGAGGTTGTCTCAGATTTTGAAAATTTTTTATTGTGAATTGAGTGAAGGTTTATAGGGCAGATCATCAATTTTATATTGAACAAATCATGCCCTTTGTTTCATCTCAATGATTACAGTCCTCTCAATGTAACATCACTCATCTCACTTCTTCCCTGTGCATCTTATTTTCTTCTTTGCCCACCATTCTGAATTTTGTCCTTAGGTAAATCCCCTTTTGATCTCAAATGGTTGGCCAGCAATGGCATGGTATGTGTACTTGAATGGTGGTGTTGTTCCCCCTAAATGCCTATTTCTTGGCTGGAATTTGAACCAGGGGGGTAAGTGCAGTTCTAGACCTGACGGGTGGTCAAGTATCAGGGTTTCCCCAGTCTTTTTCTGACCAGTAAGCCGGGTCTTTTCAGAAAAGTTTGTATGAGCTGTGGATTACCTCTCCATATCAGTATCATTATATCGTCTAATTTCACTCCTTTTCTCCATTTTAAACAAATGACACCTTTACAATAATTTCTTACATGGCTTTTCTTGAAAATAGTATTTTCTTTGAGAGTATTTAATACTCTCTTCCCTCATTTCCAGGAGTCCTGGTGGTACATTGGGTTAAGTGTTGAATACCTAATCTAAAGGTCAACTGTTCTAATCCACTAGTCATTCAAGGCAGTCTTCTTCTGTAAATATTTACAGTCTTGGAAACCTTAGGGAATAGCTCTACTCTACCCTGTAGTCAGAATTGACGTGATGGCAGTGGGTTTGGTTTTGGGTTCCTTCAACTCCAAGTATCATTTTAAAAGTAATGAGAAACCTATATTGGTGGAGTTGATCCCCCTTTGGCTTTTCATTTTGTATTTTAAAATGAAAGTATTTTGAGAGAATAATAAAAGGTTACTTCATCAAATAAATGGGGGAAAATGCAATCAGTATATCAGAGGGCAAGTGTCCATCTTTTTATGAGGAGTTGCGGGTGCTACAGGGAGCCCCATTACAATCCAACTTCTTGTCAAAATCCCTGGCTTCCTGTATATTGCACCTACTCCTCACTTTACACTGACATTTTACATTGAGCCTGGTGAAATACCTATCCAACTATTTTACACATTAGTGATATACTGATATATATCTGGCAATAACAAAGGCTGAGGGTAGAATGTAATTTTAAGGTTATATGTCAACTTGGCTAGGCTGTGATTCTCAGTGGTTTGGCAATTATGCAATGATGTAATTTGGCATTCATATAATGATATAGTCATCTTTTATTTTGTGATCTGATGTGGTTATCCTCCATTTTTGCATAATGCCAATTTTTGCAAAACAACCAGGTTTTTGGAGCCCAGTCGAGTCAATAAGTTAGGAGTGGGCATAATTTCCTTTATTTCATCTCATTTTGTTAACTCTCCAAATATTGACTTTACTGGGTTTATTTCCTTTTTCCCTCTGCATCTGTTACAGAGATTCGAAGTTATCCTCAAGGTGTGTTTGGCCTCTCTCTGAGGAGAAGAGGATGTGCTTCCAACTTTCCTAAATTCTTGGGGAAATTACTCTAATGATTCCTAGGAACTTCCGATGCTGTTTGTATTTTCTGGCTTTGGATTTGAAAGTTTTTAGAATGTTCTATGGAAAATTTATTGCATTTCCCTGGTGTCTTGGACCAGAATTTTCCCTTTTTTTTCTGGCAATCCAAACTTTAAAACAGTACCACACATACATACGTTTTTGTTTTTATAAAAAATTATAAAATATTGAGAAGTTGTAATTGACTGTGCTTCTCTCTCTTAACGATATTAATGACTGTTGCATTTAGATGGTTCTTTCACACCCTTCAACATTTGCGCTTGCTGTGTTCCGTGGAACAATTCCAACTCATAGTGTTATCAAGAGTGATTGAGTTATGTTTTGTTTTGTTTTTTTTTCTCTGTGTGACAGTGCCAGAGGTTGTCTGCCTTTAATTATTTCAATAATGCTTGTATTTTTTTCCTCTTAACTCTTTAGGGAAAAATATTTACTTCCTTGGAGCCAGAACATGACATTAATGATGTCTGCCTCTATCCCAACTCAGGTATGCACTATGTAGTAAATGATCATTCTGTAATACAAATCTAGGCTATACTTTGTTGTATTTTAAACTCGTTTTAATTTTTAAGACAGGGATTGGCTTGCTCAGGTCTCTTATTGGATATTGTATTTGGTGGGAATAAGTAAGAGCAGGAAATGGTATAGATGATTCAGAAAAAGGTACTCGGAATGACTCAGATCCCAGCCAGCCTAGATATTAGTAGAAACTTGTAGCAATGTATAGGTGGGTGGCATGTAAAAAGCTATTTTAGTTTGTTCTTTAGTGCTTTTATGTGATTAGTAATAGTGTGTGGAAATTGTGGCTAGGGATTTGGTGGAGGCTGAAGTTATCTAATATAATGGTTGCTAAAGCATTGGGCTTTGGTATATTCTTGTTGCACACTGTTCAGCAACGTATATGACAGACAGATTGTGAGATTGAACAGCACCTTCAAGGCAAACATAAATATTTTGGGCTACAAGAGAAAAATACTGCTCTCAAGGAAATATTCAGGGGACATATGAACAAATGTAATTTTGATAGAGGGATACAAGGCACAGTATGGAAAGTTCCATTGTACAGGTACAAACACACTTTGACAAATCAGAGTAATTTGGACCAGAGAACTGGAGGAGACTCTAGAAGAGGTTTTTATTTGTATCATGTTTTGAATGGTGATTGAGATTTGGTAGATGGAATCAAAGGATGAGGTGACTTACATGAGAGAACAGTGTAAGGAAGAGCTGAAAGGATAGGATACTTAGAGTTTGTTTAGAAAAGGTGAGGGACTCAGGTGATTGGAGCTCTGATGGCAATAGAAGAACTGAAATTGAAATTCAATGTGAAGGTGAGTAGACAGGTGAGGGAAGCATTTGAATGACCTACTGAAGTGTTAGGGCTTTATAGTCAGAGAGGACCTGCTCAAACTGTGCTTTAGGAAAGTAATTCTGCTATAATGTAAAGGGTAGGCTGGTTTTGAACTGAAATGATTAGGAATAGTGTGATGTTATTAAGCTGCCATAGGTAGTACAAGAGAGCTAGTTTGGAAAGTAAAATGTATATTTCCTTTTTGAACATTTTAGGTGTTAGGAGGTGATGGAACAATGATGTGGCAAAGGGTCTCGAACCTGACAGTTCATCAAAAACACTTGGGGATCTTACAAAAAGTTATAAATCCCTTGGCCTCATCCCAGATGTGCTCTCAGACAGTTAGGGGTTGTTGTTGTTGTCAAGTGCCGTCGAGTTGGTTCTGACCCATAGTGACCCTGTATGGGGTTTCTAAGTTAAGGGTTGTTGTTGTTATGTGCCGTGGAGTCGGTTCTGACTCATAGCGACCCTACACAGGGTCGTAAATCTTTACGGGAGCAGACCGCCTCATCTTTCTCCCGTGGAATCGCTGGTAGTTACGAACTTCTGACCTCGTGGTTCGCAGCCCGATTCGTAACCACTACGCTACCAGAGCTCCTTATCTAGGTGATAGAGGCATATATAAATTTTCGTTTGATCTTTTTATAACCCTGTATAGTTTGTAGTGGAGTCCTGGTGTGGGTGCTGTGGGTTAATGTGCTGGACTGCAAAGTCAGATTGAACCACATGGTAGGTGGTTCAAGCTCACCAGCCACTCGTCAGAAACTCTATACAGGGTCGCTATGAGTCAGAATTGACTCGACGGCACTTAACAACAACAACAAAAGAGTGCTTAGGGGCTCTTAGCTCCTCTCAGTTAGGCCACGAGGGTTAGTCCATTTATTGGGTTTCAGAAAATCGTTGTAATGTGTTTTCTTGTAATTAACATTCTTTGCACACATAAGCAGGAAGGGTGAGTAATGAGTAAGGCGGAAAGAACATAACAATCTTCCAAAGGTCATCCATACTTTCGTCTATTTGGTATAAGTGTAATCAGTACAGTTCCACCTTTGGTTCTTTACGCAAGAGAGATCGAGAGACCCGGGCCTTCCCCAGGTCTCGGAGTTCTCTCAGCCAGCTCAGATTAACTGCCACAGCTCCCCCTTTCCTTCCAGGTAATGAGGAAGGGTATACAGAAGCAAGATAAGCGGTTTTTGCTGCGTTCAATTCTTTTTGCAGACAGGTTCAGTATCGGCAGAGAGCTATAATTAATAAAAACAAAATTAATAATAATCCCCACATGGCCCCAAATTTTAGATTTAGGCTGGAAAGCCAGCCTTCTTAGGATTTAGCCATTCTAAGGCTTCATTGAGTTGATCAAGATCTTGTTTAGAAGCCTCCTTTTGGAGTTGAAATACTTGTATCTTCAATTTTTCCTGTAGAAGATCAATGTTTACTTTGAAGGGGGAGGCAAAGGCTGAAGAAAGATGTTGTTTGTACATGTCCCAATCAGTGTTATTAAAAGGTGGGGCCTTTTACACAATACTGGGACAAGAGCCCATCACAGGTAAGCTGTTGATGGGTCCATAATGCTTGTTGTCTTTCTCCTAAGAAGAGGACAGCAGCTTCCAAAGCATTTAACCGCTGAATAATCTGGGATTGTATGTGAGTGGTCATATTTGACATCTATGTATTTACTGGTAATGATGGCGTTGATGAAGTGCCACAGCTGCAGTAGCGGCAATGGCTGCCACTGCAGTCACCGCAATGATTACTGCAATGAGGGTCCGAAGGTATCTTCCTTTATGAATTCTCTCTAGTGCATGTGTGATGATTTGTAATGGGTTAGGGCCTTCCCATTTTCTGGATATTTCCAGGCAGCCAAACTTCACTGTGTCTCAGTACAATTATCTGGGATATGTTGCTTTCAGTAATATTTTGATGTGTAATGCACAGAGTGAGAAAAGTATTGTTTGGGAGAATTGTGATTAAAAACCTGGGTGTCATGATTCCAGGTGATAATACTTTGGTTTTCTGGTTTTGTTATTATGGCAAAGATAAAAGGGTGTGATGTGCAAATCATAGCAGAATCAATAGACTTGTTAGTAATCCATTGTACAGGCTGCCAATTTTGATGCACAAAACGTCCACGTGGATGGGTTTTAACGGAGAAAGGGAGGGTTTATCTCCATCTGGTAGTTCGGAGAGGAAAAAATGAGTTTTGGTTATATTTAAGACATAGTAATGATCCTACTAGACCAGGGTTTTAATATGGAGTGAATGCATTATAATGAAAGGGATCTCAAAGGACCAGGTGTGATTACTTGTTAAGACATTAAATTCTTTCAGTCCCCAATTTTCTAAGGTTAATTTGGCATTGAAATTTTGAGTGGTGACATTGGGAGATCAGCAGGTATGCCACTGAAGATCAGGTAACTCTTCTCCAGATGCCTATTTAGTAGGGCATCTCTGGGTGTGTGGTTTGGATTCATTCCACCCGGATGTTAAGTAACCTGCGACCCCAGATCCCCTTATGAAGGGTAGATGAACCGCATCAGTGAGCCATGATATATTGTAATAAATAGAATCAGCGTACCATTAAGGGGAGAAAGTTATACACAATGGCTTATGTTTTTTGGGAGAATCATTATATTGTGCACAATAGGGCAGTGCTGAGCTATTAAGCTCCACGGTTGATTCAACTGGTGCAAGGTTGCTAAATATTCCTTACCCTGTAAGAATTGGACTAGGTTCGAGACCAGGGGAATCCATATACCTGCCACCCATGACTTTAGTGTCATTGGAGGCTATAGGCATTTCATGGTCCTCCAAAGTTACTGAATGGAATATGTTGTTGTTGTTAAGTGCCGTTGAGTTGGTTCCGACCCATAGCGACCCTGTATAGAGTTTCCGAGGAGGAGCTGGTGAGCTTGAACCACTGACCTTATTGTTCAAACAGCTTTGCAGTCTGGCACATTGGTCTCCAAAACATGTGTCCAGTATACTTGTCCTGAACTTGGACCCCACAAGGAGGCAAGAATTTTAATAAAGCTCACCATGTTAGAAGTATAACTTATAATGGCAATGATAGTCAAGAAAATGTTATCTAGTGTCCCAGCACCTAGACGTCTCTCCACCAATTGCTGGGCATCTTGGGTCAGTTTCTTGATCATTCCCCATGTGATTCCAGGAGCCTGTCGGGTGTTTCTGAGTATATCCACAAGGCACCTGCTTCTGTAGAGAAACAAACAAAACCTCTTCCTATGGTTAGTAATGGTGTGGGTCCTGTAGGGCTTGGTCCTTAGTTTCTGGGAATGAAAAATGCCGTTCTGCTGGTGTCTGAGAAAATGTGTGATTGTAAAAAACTTTAATAAAGCTGTAGAAGTAATAAGGCTGACTTAAAGGATCAGGGTCATAGTGTTCTCCTCCCCCCTTTTGTTTTAGAAGCATAGTTTTCCTGCGGGAAATGATATGCTATATTACATACAAATTTGCTTAGAGCTATTTGCCATTCAATGGACGTGTTTAAGAGGTAAACAAATTCATGTTTTTTATGGGTAAAATATTATATGGATTGTATCCTGTAAGTTGCCTTTCAGTTAATTTGCTAATTACATATTATATGTCATCTGCTTAATTTGAACAAAAGGGAACTTATAAAAAGTTCTGTAACATCTGATTTTTTTTCCCTTAAGAAAGCTATCCAAAAAGGATTATCAATTTCATTAGAAAAATAGTTTTTGTGCAAATTTGACTACAAAGATGATAATGTACAAATATTTGGGAAATATAAGGAAAAGCAATGTAAATCATTTGATTATATAAGTTGATGAGCCCTTGAATTTATGTGAATATCAAATTTCTCATTATTAGTCCTTTTTTTTTCTGTCTGAGAAGATTGTTTTAATCTCTATCAGGTCTACGATGCAGAATTCAAAATATAAAGGCCAAATTGGGTTTAAATTTGAAAATATCTGGACTTTAGAAAAGTTATGTGATACAATTGGTGGGTTTCAAAAAGCTTGTGGGAAAATTCCATTATCTTGTTGTTGTGAAGTGCTGTCGAGTCATTTCTGACCCATAGCGACCTTGCAGTTCAAAGGGCTTTGCAGTCTGGCGCATTAACCCACAGCACCACATTAGGACTCCAGTGTTGTTGTTGTTGTTGTTGTTAAGTGCTGTCAAATTGGTTCCAACTCATAGCACCCCTGTATAGGGTTTTTGAGGAGCATTATCTCATTCATTATCAAATTATCTCATTATCAGTGTTTCTATAGTGATAAATTCATAGCATGTTAGCCTAAAAATAGCATCATATTTAATCTATGTCACCAATTATAAAAAACTTATTTTTTCAAATTTTTGGCTTTCGGAATTTCGGGTAATGAATTATAGACTGTTTGGATAAAACTTACGTTAAGACTAGAACAATTACAAGTGAAAAATACTCTGTGACTAAACAAATTCTAAAGTAAGGGCTAGTATTACATAAGAGAAACTTTGCTTTTATCAAGTAACAGTATTTCTGTAAAAACAATATACTGTAGATCGCTGTTTGTTAAAGTCCAAAATTAATCTTTTAATGTCCCTATTTTAGAATAGGCTTTGCCAGGAAACCCAAACTCGTTTAAAAACCACCATAGTAAAAACAGCTGAGGTGGGCAAAGGGCACACACTCCCCTGGTTCATGTTTTCTTTTAAGATTAAGTCCTGCCTGTTCCCAGACCTCTAAATCTAATGTACCCTGCTCTGGGAACCAGGCTTATGCTGATTGATAAAGCATAACAGGGACGTGAGCTGGCCCTCCGAGACCACGGTGCCACTAGCCTTCAGTAGCTGTATATTGCTCCCATGACCCCAACCTTAAAATTCCCCGAGAGGTGTAAAGTTCTGCTTGTGACTTACTTTTGTCTTTAATCTCCCAAGTTTCTCAGAGTTTTCTTTCCTGATATCTTCTTTACTCCGTCCCTCACATAGGATACCGCTTGTCGGGGAAATTCACATACTCCAAAGAGTAGTTGAGGAGCTCTTGGCGAGGTGCTGTAGAGCAGCCTATTCATTGGGTTTCAGCAATCGTTATAATTTGTTTTCTTGTAATTAACATTCTTTGCATGCATAAGCAGAAAGGGTGAGTAATGAGTAAGAAGGAAAGAACATAACAATCTTCCAAAGGTCATCCATACTTCCGTCTGTTTGGTATGAGTGTAATCACTACAGTTCTATCTTGGGTTCTATACTCTAGAGAGATCGAGAGACCCAGGCCTTCCTTGGGTCTCAGAGTTCTCTCAGCCAGCTCAGATTAACTGCCACAGAAGAGATTCATATTTGTACCCATTCTCAAGAAAGATGACTCAACAGATAGTAGAAACTAATATTAATATTACATGTAAGTAAAATTTTACTGAAGATAATTCAAAAACGGTTACATCAGTACATCAACAGCTGCCAGAAATGCAACCTGGATTCAGAAAAAGATCTGGAATGAGGGATATCCTTGCTGATATCAGATAGATCTTGGTTGAAAGTATAGAATACCAAAAAGATGTTTACTTCTTTTTTATTGACCATGAAAAGGCATTCAACTTTGTAGATCATAACCAACTATGTATAATATTGTAAAGAATTGGAATTCTAGAATACTTACTTGTGTTCATATGGAACCTGTACATAGAACATAGAGCATTTTCATCACCCCAAAAAGAAATTCCATGCACATTAGAATTCAGTCTTCATTTTCCTCCATTCTCCTCAACCCTAGGCAACTGCTAATCTTCTTTCTGTGTATATGATTTGCCTGTTCTGGACATTTAACATAAATAGATTCATATAATATTTGGCCTCTTTGGATCAGATCTAAAACTTTGCAAAATGTTTTCAAGTTTCATCTATGTTATAGCATTCATCAGTACTTGTATGTAACTTTGAGTCAGCTTTCTTTCACTAAAGCATAATGCATCTGAGATTCATGCATGTTGTTGCAAGTTCAAACAGCTCATTTCTTTTTATTGCGAAGTAGTATTCTGTTGTTTGATTTGCCTTTCAGTTTGTTAATCCATTCACTAGATATATGACATTTAGGTTACTTCCAGTATTTAGAATTTAAGAATAAAATGTCTTAGCATTATTATAATGAGGAAACCTAATATGCTTTTTGAAATTAATCATCTTTCAAATAGCATAGTAGGTTGCCTCATTTTTTTTTTTTTAACAAATAATTACTTGTTTAGAAGTGTTAAAATAAAAGACAGAAAAATAAAGCTGTCCTAAACATTTACATTAAGGTTTTGCTGCGAACATAAGTTTTTTCAGTTATTCAGGTAATGTGGTCATATATTTTTAACATAGTAAGAAACTCTGAAAATGTTTTACTATGTAGCTGTCATTTTGAATCCCTACTACCTGCAATGCCTGAGAGTCCCTATGAGTTGGAGTCAACTCGATGGGAGCCTACTCATTCATTTATCAAGCGTATCCTGAGCATTCTGCAGATAGTGAAGTTGATATTTCTAATGGCTTGCTGATTTGGTTAAAGTCCCATTTCTAGGAGAGTCAGGGAATGAAGTCACTTGATTCTAGTCTGTGCTGTGCATGTGTGCTGAGTCCTTTTTACCTCTTGCATTTCAAAATGTAAAACAGATGGAAAAGGGTACTTTTTTCCTCTCCACTTGCTTATCTTCCTCATTGTGTTTATTTTTTAGGAATGCTTCTTACTGCTAATGAAACCCCCAAGATGGGCATTTATTATATTCCGGTAAGTAGTACAAATAGGAATAAAATAGGTAAAACAGAGATACTTTATTTTAAAATTGAATGTTTGGAGGCACTTTGGATATGCATGTAATTTTGTAAATTAAACACAGATGACTCACTTGTAGGTTGTATTTACTTGCTGGGATTTACTTCAAGGAATTTACATTTAGGGAGTAAACAGTAAGATTATTATGACTTAAATATTGCTTTATGAGCAACCATTAAATAGCATGTTAAAATGGACATTTGAAATCAGTCTTCATTGTAGTTAATGAGGTGAAACAAAGTTGTGTATGAATTGTTGAATGTAAAACTGATTATCTGCTCTGTAAACCTTCACTCAATTCACAGTAAAAAGTTGAAAAAGAGAAAAAAGAAAACAATGCACTTTTTGTCTCATTCACATATTTGTTGTTGTTAAGTGCCATTGACTTGGTATAAACTCATAGTGACCCCATATAGGGTTCCCAGGAGTGGCTGATGAGTTTGAACCATCGACCTTGTGGTTCAAACTGACCTTGCAGTTCAGTGCATTATCCCATAGTGCCACTCCAGGATTCAAGTTTATGAAGTTTTTTTTAAAAAAATACAGTCTTCATTCTTAAGATTGATATTTGTTTTGTTTCCAAGAATTTCAGAATCTTAAACCTTCAGATATTAGTGATCACAACAGAAATTTTGTCTAAACTTAAAATAAAAAGCTATTACTATTCATTTCATTGAAGCTTATTATTATTTCTTTAAAGAGTGAGTTGTATATAAGAATGATCTTAGGTTGACAAGATCAGTGAGTATGTGTTGTTTTTTTTCCTTCTTTTTTCCAAATCCTTTTCTTGTATGTGCCAAAAGCTTCCCCTTTTAGTTTGCAACAATAAAGAAACACAAGGGAATGTGATCTAATCAGGAAACACACTAAATTCAAAGTTGTCATTAGGTTGTAAGTCAGCACACATTTCCCTTAGCTGAGATGTTTTGGGGGAAGAGAGTGGGAGGCAAGCAGTACCACATTACCCAATAAGCTAATTAAGCACATGCTTTCTTGTGCTTATTTGCTATTTGTACTGAACAACTTCACATTTTTTTCACCATCAAAGATTCTGCTTCTTGCTCTGGTGGGCATCTATCTCTCTCCCAAACTCGTAGCACCTTCCTATAAAATCAAAGCCTCATTTCACATGTACAATTCCTGATAAGGATGGAGTACCCAGTAAGCTGTTTAAGTATGTGCTTTCTTGTTCTTACTTACTAATCTGTCACTAACAGTTTTACTGTTTTTCATGCCTTCATTGAAACCCATCTGAAATTGTTCACTACAAATTAGTAATTAAACACAAGCTCATGCTTACCTTACTTACTGGTTAATCCATCCCTAGAAGTGAGGAGTATTAGAGGTCAGAATTTTAGAGGAATGGACTCCTTAGCCAAGTGGATTCTTGTTAGGCCTCCAGTTATGAAAGCTCTTGATATTTAATTATGGTTCTGTATGAAATAGTTAAACTATGCATGTATTCAACAGGGCTGCAAAAAGTTTGTGGAAACTGGACTTAAAAGATAATGGAAGTTTTCCATGAACTTTCTGAAGCCTGCTCATATTTCCAAAATAGTGTTTTGATTGGTGTAAACTCTGGTTTCAGTGCACTGATACATTATGGAAAGGACTCTGAGATATTTCCTTTGGTTGGTAGTGACAGCAAGCTTTATAGCTTTCCTAAGTTGTCATCTGTCTCTTTTATTCCTGAATCTCACAAATAACTCCTTCTGTATTCATATCAATTCATTCATCTTTTTCTGTTTTTGTTTGTTTAGGAAATGTTTCTTGAATTACATCATCTGTGTGTCAGGCACAGTGCTGTGTGTTGGTAGTATAACAGTGCACACTGTACTGTCTTGCCCTCAAGGAGTTTATATTTAGGGACTAAAAGAGGCTAGGCAATTTCAGTGTGGTGTCATGGGTGCTATGACGGAGGGAAGGAAGGTACCTTGAAAGATACCAGGAGGAGAGACAGTTAACCCAATCTTAAGGCTGAGGGAATGTGGGAAATGTGGAGAGTAGTTTCTGAGAAAACCTCCCAGAGGAGACAGCTTTTAAGATGAGACCTGAAAAATGATGAAGATGTATGCTGTATGAAGGAGATGAGCGTGGAGTGGAAGGGAGTGGAGTACAGGATGGAAAAAGGGCCTTGGAAGTAGGGAAAACACTACATGTATGTGCACAGATCAGGGAGAAGCAATACACCTGGGTGAGCCCTAGAGCTTGAGCCAGAAAGAGGGGTGGGAGCATGGCAGGTTAAGACATGCTACCGAAGCAGTACTCAGGAAGGAGCTAGGTTGTGAAGAGTTTTGTGAGCCAGGTGTGGTATTGTAAGGCAGTCTTTGAAAAATTGTAAACAGGAGTGATATGATCAGATTTCCATTTTGGAAAGATTCTTTTTGGGTGCAAGGAGAATGGATTAGATAGGATCTAATCAGGAAGCAACAAGAGCTAGCTGTGTAACAATGTACATGAACGATGATAGTCGTTTGTGTTTGCTGTGTCAGGCCTCCTTTTTTAGTCCTTGTAGCTCTCTTGGGTTTGGAGATAAATTGAGTGACATCTAATCTGTCTGGCACTAATTTCAGAGGGCTTGTTATCCTTGAGTAGGCAAACACTGTGTCAGGCTTGCCTCAGAGGTGTTCACTGATGAATTTACACTTGTAAAGATCACAAAAAATGCCTTTAGGTTCAGTATCACAAAGTCATTCCCTATTTTTAGTCTGTTTTAAAAACACTGTGAAGAGAGGCATAAGGAATCAATCACCTTGCCCCTGTAATCTGTATCTTCTGTTGTAGAAAAGGTCTCTTTTCATCTTCACTGTAGGAGTGAATGCTATCTTTTAATTTTCATTGACTGCCTATAAGATGCCAATGCCTTGGATTTTGGGGCCCTTCCCCTTGTCACCAAGTATGCAGCCCTAAATGACAGGAGTGATAGTCACAAAAACACATCTAATTTTTCAGCTTTAAAGGTTAGCCTCAGAAAACTGTTGAGGTGTAGTATACCTCCAGTTATAAAAAGTCTTGATATTATGGTTCTGTATGAAATAGTTGAGCTAAGTTTGGTACTATAGGATAAGCACTTGACAATGAAGTCGGTTTAAACTGCAGGGTCAGTGGTTCAAACTCAGCTGCAGCTCCTCAGAAACGTTATACAGTGTCAATATGAGTTGGAACTGATTCGATGGCATTTAACAGTAACAACATGTATATGTAGAAGGGGGTTCAAAAAATTTGTAGAAAATGGAATTAAAAGATAATGTCATTTTTCCGTGTGCATTTTGAAGCCTGCTCATATTTCCAAAATGGTGTTGTTTTTTTAAGTTTTTATTGTGAATTATATGGGTTTACATGGGAGAACATCAGTTTTTACATTTATCCTATCATATTTTGTTTCACTGCAATGATTACAATCCCTTTCATGCATCATCAAATAACCAAAGGGTACAACCCACAGGCCCGCCCCTCCTCCCCAACTGTCAACACACTGCCCCTCTCCCTCCCTGATTCCCGTGTCCCCAGCCACTCCATCTGTTCATGTAATCATCTGTCTTCATGCCTGGCATCACTGCCTCTCTGGGTAGGGTCCCGCTCTCCGTTCTCACTTGATGGTGCCAGGGACCTCTGCTTCTGGGCTGCAAAATCAATCACTCTCCTCCTTTTGTCAAAAAACATCTACCTGTACATTTCCCACCCTCACAGTCAGTCCTGATAGCAATTATTCACTATTGTACCATAGGAGCCTTATCCCCATTTCCTTTCACCAACCCGGTCCAAACAGATTGGAAATCATTCATTGGAGGTTCTACCTACCCCTGCCCCATCTGGAACTAGGCTCCCTCTTGAAAGCTTGTAAGCCAGGCACATAGGCCCCTCCATTTTGGATAACCAATGTTTAAGTAGTCATCCCTGTCAACCCTGTGTACCGAGGACGTGGGAGTGATCCTTGCTGTAAAGTTTGTTCCCTTTTTTGAGCTACTACATCCATACATATAGGTAAGGTTCATCAAATTGTAGTGGGTTACTCTTTTTTTTTTTTCTTCCCTCTTCTTTCTTCTTCTAGTCGAGTTCTGTTCCTTTAGCCATCGAAGCCAGGTCAAATGGGTACTATCTGCAAGTATGGGTGTTCTTGTGTGTCTCCCCTCACTTCATATTAGCTGGACCTTCATTCTCTGCTCTAGTCCTCTGTGGCCATGTCACTGCCTCTGGGCCCAGGAGTCCCTAGATCTTGCTGTAATTTCTGGCCATCCAGGTCTACTCCTGGGTTCACAGGAGTCTATTGAATGTGGTCGGACTTAGATCCCAACTTCATTGCTGTTTTTCCCCCTCTCCCCCTTTTTAGTGACCAACATGGCACCAGCCAGACCACATGCCTGCTCATGAATTCCCCTTGAGCCTTATTAGTCTTGGAAAAGAGTTTGCTCTGAGGGTACCTGACCACTTTCCTTGATGGCTTCCGGGTGAACAGCTTACTTGTACTTGTAGCAATCAATCATATTATCATTATTGTTTCTGATTTTTCCTGCTGGTCTTTCTTCATGAAGTATCTTCTGTTCTTCTAGCTGCTGCAGGCTAGTCTACTTGTCCTTTGCAGTGGAAATTTCCCACCTCAGACAATTCTGGATGGGATTCTGGTTTCCACCTATGGTCTTAGGCAATGCATAAGCTCCACAGGAGGTCTCTTTCACTGGGCAATATCTAGTCCCCTCTAAGGTATTCCAATCAGTTATAGTCTGAAGATGGGCTTATAAGCTTTCTGTCGTGATGTTTCTGGCTATCCCCGCCCCCACACTCCCAAGTGTCTATTTCACAGTGGTAGACAAGGGAAACCAATATCCAAAAGACAGCCAAGCATCGTAACTTTATTCCCTCTTTTAGCCTTTCAAACCATGCCTTAATCCCTATATCCTGAAACCCTGTTATTCCAAAGTTGTACATACATCATCATTTACCTCTGTCCCACTTAG